ACTAGCGGCTCAACTCTCTAAAGTGAAAGCAAGCTTTGCGAGATCAGGAAGCTGTTCTGTACGCTGTTGGAAGCTGGGCAGCTGCAGATCTGGCGCAGCCATGGCCCACCAAAGTTACGATGGAGAACAAGTGTATGCAAAAGGGTCAGATTCTGCCGTACGCATCGCAGCATTTAGTACGAAAGCCTTCCTCTGACTCTTCTCATTTCTGAGGTCTTGAAAAGCCTCGTGACAGTTGCAACTTCGAAGTTTGACAACTAGCCGTGAGTACAAAGCCACTCCTGCCCACGCGAACTTCAGATGCCTTGGACGCTGAACAAATGCACTGCCCTTTTGCTGTGAGGCTTCCATGCAGCAGCGTTCGAAGGTGAAAACCTCAGCGCTGAGTATGCCGGTCATGGCAGTTCAAGCAAGGCGCTGTAGGTCAGCAGACTTTCAACAAAGCAGTCGGCCAAGTCCCAGCATTTTATGTTGCCTCCGGGGCCATAACGAGCCTGTCCAAGCAAGTGCACCAATAGCCAATAGGGAGCTTTTCCGCACCACTGCTCAAGAAAACTCAAACTAAATGCAGCTCAAAGAAGAAGGGCTAGCTGAGATGTCCTCGTCACAGCATGTTTGGGCGTCAAACCCGTCACTCCAGCAAGAGTAACCTCAATGCATCTGCTCATGTCCTTCAACCAAGGCCTCGCAAACTTCGCAAACACAAGCTGCGATAAGGTGTGAACCGGGGCCGGCCACCTGGCAACTAGGTCCAGGTGTTCTTTCTGCAATTCTGAAAAGCTCGCCCCATTCTCGCGGCACCTCATCATGTCGGGCGGCAGCTGATGGCAGCTTGCGCATAAACCACCTTGAACCCAAGAGGTTTGAGCTGAGCCGGATTCAACACTCCGTCTCGGTTCAAATCAATGAGGCCGCTGCTGACTGCTGAGATAGGATACAAACAGTCCGGGCCGCACGCGGCCTGGGGTCAGTAAAGGACCACGACTTCCAATGTCTCTGCGGCCGCAGACCCAGTGTGCGCATTGGCTGCACTTCAGATCCGAAGTCATCATCTAAGTCTGCCTGGACACAAGATCTTTTTGTAAATGGCCCGCAGAGTCCCCAGCATGAGGCCTCCGTCTCAGCAGCGAATCTAAACACGTCCTTCTGCACACTGTCCGCTCCACCCTGAACAAAGCAAAAGTGGAGGCACATGCAAACTGCGGCAACTGCAGCCCAGGATGCAGACTGGAAACACCCAATCGTCTCCGAACAGAACACCGCCCGCGGCAAGCGCCTGCCAGGCCTGATACGTCTTGCCACATGTCACCATACGTTAAGCATCGTTAAGCAACAAATCAACCTCGGCATCTGGCCAAGCGAAGCTCTAACCTGCGACATCTCCACGAGGGCACACCGAGTTCACAAGGCTCTGTGCGTTGACCCCTCATGGGCAGTGAAGAAATGCGAAGTTGGTTTGAGGCTCGCGCAGTACCTCCCCCTCCTCATGAGCAGAATCCAAATAGATCACCTGTGGAAGCCTCGTCGCGCTATACCGCAATGCAGAACGTTTTAAATTGTTCAAACTACGGCAAGCTTTGCTAGCAGTCTCAGTTGCATCAAAGAAGGCTCACGTGAGCAACACACATGTCATCCTGAAGCGCTGGCGGTGTGACATTGCGTCTTGCAAGGGAGGCCACCACTTTCAGGGCAACAACAGATGTCGCTGGCAGAGGCAGCACCTTGTCGATTATTTACCCTGATTCGGTTACGGAAGCTTCTTCAGCATTGCTAAGACTCTGGCACACTTGTGCACACCCGCTTCGTGGATGTTAAGCCGGAAACCTTGATGCATCATGGCTGCCAGGCTTCCTGCTGTTAACTACAGCTAATGAAAATCACGGATGTAGTTTTTCAAGCATGTGCTTGCCAGCAGCGGTCATACAGGCTCACAGAGCCGTCCGGCCGGAGTAGATGTCGCCTTTCCTCAAATCTTCCAATAACTTGATGCCCTTGAATTGCAAGGGCGATTGATCTACGTGCCAACGCCAGCGCCTCTGCTTTTCTTTCCCAAAGACAATGCGCATCCCCAAGGAACGTATCCACTGCAATGACCTGAAAAAGTTAGGGTACGAAAAAAGCTGCAAGTAACTAAGCCACTAGGCCGCATGCTGATGTATTCAATCCGTGCGCAGCTACACGCTGGGCAGTGAGGATGGCCGAGCCACCCTGGCAACTGCAAACGGCAAACGCTCTCTCGGCTCTCAGAGTCTCTGAGCATCCCTCGAAAGCCTCGTAGGAGCCCAGCTCCATCCAGAAGGTAACAGGCTGGATGGCCGAAAACAGCCTAAACTTGATCACCAGGCGGACCAGGCTACATAGTTTATCGCGATTGATGTTGAGGCGGGGGGCGCCATGTCGATATCTTTGCTCGACCTGAAAATCTTGCAAGAGACAGCCAGGCGACGAATTGAACACTCGAGAGCCTACACCGTCTTAGTCGGCAGCACGTGCGTCATCCCAATATCTCGCGTCACATGGGCAAGTGCAGGCAAGGGTGCAAGCATGGGATCGCTCCTGGACATCGGATCCAGAGATATACGAGCTCCAGTCAATATTTGGTCCGTATGATTAGACATGGGTCCTGAATGGGGAATATCCGCCGGCCTTTGGGGGCGTGTTGGATGCCTTCCTGAGATGGAGAGGGTTTAAATCCTCCAATCCGAAGCAGCCGTCTTCAGCGCCATCCGCAAGGCCCCACCAAAAGAGGACCGCCACGAAAAAATGCATTTTGAAATCGCACGGCCCTTCTGGTGGGCCCCAAGGCCCCTGGGGGCCCGGGCCCAGCCAGGCCCCAATGCCCTGAAAGTAGGCTGCAGGCTTAAGTTTCCAGCAGTTCCGAAGCTATGAGTTTGCATCACTATATGCTAAAACGCTGCGTCTGATTTGCACCCAAATGTACCATGTGTGCCAAAACCTGGTCAGCCTGCGCAGAGAACCATGTTCAAAGCGTTTTTGATTCCTTTTCTTGGGTTTTGGACCCCCTGGTCCCAATCACACCAAGATGGGTCCCATTTGTGCTGATGATGCTGGCACATGGGGCGCGCGCGTCTTGTATGCCAGCACCATTGGAATCCCGCATTGGGTCGTTCTCAGTTAAATGAGAGAGAACAAGACCTACCAAACTTAACAACCCATCCCAGGTAGCAAGAACATCATCTTTCATACAAATCTCCCGATCAGATCCGATCAGGAGCATCAGCAGGGATGGGTGGGGTTGGCTCGGCATTCACATGATGGCCGCGTGAGCCTGAGGCGGCAGCCAGGCCAGCAGTTGCCGCGAGGCCCAAAAAACAAGAGACTATGACTATACTGACCTACCAAAGAGACCCCTGCCCACCCTGGTCCTTTGGTAGGCCTAGTATCTAATCACAGTACCTCAATAGCTCATACTTGCATGGCGGGCTGCTTCAAGCATGTTCAAGCACTGCATGCAGAGAGCACGGCTCCCGAGAAAGAGCTCCCTCACCAACGCGTCAGCTATCGGCGGCCGCGGCCCCTGCCAGTGGTGTTGGCTGGACCATCCTACAGTTGCTTCCGGCTATTGCTGGCTACATGTTAAAGCTGGGCTGCCAATTGGACGCTGGGCTGCCACGGTTTCCCGACCAGCATGTTAAAGTTTTTTCTCGTAGAGTCTGGGTACCCAAGCCTGGCTTTTTCGTTTGAATGCACTTGCCGTGTTGTCATCCACTTCTGCACTTCTGCTTGATGGCCCTCTCACTTTCATATGAGCACTTGGCTTGCACCTGCCAATGGTCACAAAAAGCTTACTCAACATGCAACCAGAAGACACGCCTGACAGGTGATGGACTTCAGCTTCACAGCACCGTCAAAAAAGCTGCAAACATTCAACGCATACTTCTGACAGACGTGTGGCGATTCCTGGACCCCAACAATGTCCAAGCCTTACACATCAAGGCAATAGCAGGGCTTGTCTTGATCCGACGTTCAGCCATTCTCCGATACGTGAAAGCTCCATCTAGGCTAGCTACAATTGAAAAATCAGCATAACGAATGCCGACCCCTCCCTGGTTTAAGTAAACCAGGGATTCTAGAAAGGCGTAATTTTATGGAATTTCGGATGGACTTGGGAATCAGAGCGGAATCAATGATAGAAGGATTTTGAAAAGGACTGTAGAGGACGGGATTGCAGAGATGCCTAGGCTATCTTGAGGCATGCTTGCTTGGCATCCGCACAAACATCCCCACAAGCGTAAGTTCTCAAGTTTATACGCACAACTCTGCATCACATTTGCCAAAAACTGTCCCACATGAAGATGCGCCAACCTGCGCGAAACCATTCCTATTGTATCACCACACGTCATGGGCATAGGCATCACTGCACGAGGTTGGTTTGGAAAAATCCTTGGAGGGGAGCTCAATAAGACTGAGATGCGAGGGTCATACAATGGATGTCTCCTGATTGGATCGTCCGCCCTGGTGGTGCCAACAGTGGAAATATATGCTGATTGGATGAGACTAGCCACCATGGCAGTCGAAACCCAGAGTGATGGACAAGTTGTGGTCAAACAAATCATCACTCAAAGTTGCACATCCATTCCAAGGGCAGTTCCTGCGATTCAGGTGCGTTGCCTCATCATAGCGGGCTTCGGCCGTAGCCACAGCCAAGATGGCCAGCCTCTGTGAACAGAACCCGGAAGTGACGCAAGTGGCTTCACATGTCCTCGCTGGCTTTGTTATTCTCGGGATCTTTCTTTGTGGGATGGCGGATTTCTTTACAACCAGCAACGCGAACCACTGCGCATGGGCTATGTCTGATGGATTCAGCATGCACAAATGACAAAAGAAGTTCAATGCGACTGACTTCTGCCTAGGCAGGCGCATCACAAAGGGTACGGCTTTCCACTACTAATATTCGAAGCCAAATGCGGCGAAACGTTGTCCAATGAATCTGCTCCGCTTGCAGGCAGCACGCACAAAACGGAGCACTTTTGACGTAGCTAGTCGCCACGCTCGAAAGCATCCTCGAGTTCCTGCAGCATCCTCAACGACAGTCACAATAGGACACAGTATACAGCCAGGTTGCAGAAGAGTGAAGAGTCATTCATATAAGTCAAGGCTCAATGCAAAATGCGGAAAAAGCCGAACGAATGTGGCCCTGTCCACATCTGCCGCGCTGCCGAATACAGACGCGAAGGCAAAGTCTGCGAAGCCGCGTCTGTCCTGAATTTCTCGCAGTACCACGCAATTTCAGCGCATGGACCCGGCAAGAGGCCTTCCCATAAGTCCTCTCCAACTTGTTCCACCATGATCCACCCTGCCTGATTCCATTCCCTTCCCGAAGGCATGCTGCAGCTACACACACAAGCCCTCTCCCAGCCCCATTCAGCGAGGCGCTGGATGCTGCCACGGGGTCGGCAGCAGAAGCGTAACTAAAGTTCGCATTTTCAACTTCCCGCTGTTGGGCTTCGTTTGCTTCTTGGCTCCGTCCTGTTCCGGATTTGGACCTCGGCCTTGAGCACGCCTCAATCGCTCGCATAGATGCCCGAAGTCCAAGGGTAGCATGCGTGGACTCCTGCAGCAAAATGTTTTCTGCTAAACAGATGCACCGCGCAAGCACATTAGATGTTCTGATGCACCTGTTGGGTGGGCCAGGTGAGGCGAACGCATCAAAGATGGACCCCGCATCGTGCCACCGCACTGCCTTGATAAAAAATGCACAACATTCGAAAAAAAGGTCACATGCACTTCTTCATCTTCAACTTCCGCGTCAAGTGCGATGTCAAAGGGTGCATGTGACGCAGGTCCTCTGCGGACAAGCTACCGCAGTCTGTCTTGCGTGCCACCGATCTTCACCTATGCGCATGTGATCATTTAGAGCAGTGCACATCTGGGAACGTCCAGCACCGCCAGCTACCTCTCCTATTGCAGCAGGCAGTGCACGCAGGCCAAATTCTGGAAACCCTCACAAACTCCCTTGCCTGCGAGCAATCTTATTTGCTGCATGTTCGCAACAGTTGAAGTTCTGGAAAGCCAGGGCTGTTGGAGCGCATACATCATTCTTGGACAAGGGTCGGCTGATGTCGGCTGATGAGTCCAATTCAAGCCAAACTTGATGCAAGCTTGATGCAATTTGGGCTCGGCATATGTGGAGCTGCAATTAAACAAGTCACTTTCACCACTATCATCGACAGGATCATCATCTATAAAGAACGCGACATTGCAATGCCAAACAGATGTTTTGGCACGTGATGAGTGCTCATATGAACTCACATTACAGCCAGGCATCATGCTTCAGAACGCTCTGGTCGCAGAACAACCTCTGCCAGAGGGCCCAGGAAGCAGCTTAGGGAGGAAAAACGAAACTTAGACTGGCCAGGAAAGCTGCAGTATCTTTACGTCAGGCAAGCTTGTAATCAGCACACAGGTGCCCCTTTGACGGGTAAGCGCGCATTCATGACATGGGTTGTTCCCAATATGGGCCCCGCACGGCACCTAATATTTAGGGGTACCAAAATGGGACTCTAATTTTCGGAACTACCCACATTATTTTGGAAGACAGCATGTGCGTACAGGTTGAATCGCCTTTCTTTTCCTACCCAGTATTCCCAACACTGCGGCACACTTTTGCTTCCAGCGTTTCGGTACGATCGCTGTCAGAAGGATGAGCAATGCTTCTACCGGATGGTTTTAGGTAACTTATCAAACTTGAGCCAAACATGAGTGCGGAGCACATGAGGTCTTTGCGGTAACAAACTGATATAATGCATGACTAGCCACACCAGTTCGGGTGCAGGCCGCCGGCCATACACTATTGTTCCACGTGACCTGGCACGTAGTGCACAGGACCACGCTACGACTACAGATTTGTTCACACCCCCCACGCTTGACAGCAAGGCAGGAAAGCGCAAAATCGAACAGATTATTCAAAAGATGAATTTGGGCATCGTATCGAATGCTTTAAACGCCTCATTGCACTCATGAAAATATTTGAATTGCTCCATCCTAATTAATGCACGGAATCCGAGATGAAGACAGGACAGCTACTGGCAGGGAAAATGTCGTACGCACTACCCTACACTCACGTGAGTCATGCAGACCCAGCAATTAAAAGCCGTCAGAAGATTCACTCACCATCCACTCGAAGGACGTGATCGCTCAGCGCGATCCCACCGGCCACGCTCGCCCTTGTTGGTCCCCTCGGGGCGTTGAGAAGGATACGGCCCGGAGCTGTACGACGGGCGCGGCGAGGAGGTCGGACCAGCCGTATAGCCACGTCGGACACTGTCTCCTGCTGAATCGCGTCGGCACGTTGCTCATCAGTGGGCTCCCTGGGCATGTATTCGATGGGCAAGATTTTCATTTCATTTTCAGGACCGCGGGATTTATCCTTCAGGTACCCCATGAACTTCTTGTGGCAATCGGGCGGAAGCGGATAGCCATGCCCCAGCACCAACACGAGCATCTCAGTGAGTGCTTCCTTTGCAGATTGTGCCACGAGCATTGAGCTCGGATCGATGTGCATGTAGTCGGGCACGTGCGGCAAATTTCCACGAAAAAAAGAATATGCCATGGCCTTGACACCAAAGACACACCATCACAATGCGGTTCATGGTCACGTGCATGGCCGCCCGGACGGTGGTCTTGTCGTGCGATTTGATGTCGAAGTGCGCACAATCATAGCCCAATGCAATGCACCCTTGTACTGCAATAGAGACCAACCGGTGGGTCTGGTAGTGCTTTGGACGCCATCCTTGCTGTTCCGGTTGACGGGTTTCCTCAATGATCTCTGCCTCTGTCAGATCCCGTGGCAGCCCTGTCGAATTGTCGAGTTCGACAATGGCACGCTCCCACGGCGTCACGCCTGCTGCCTTCCTTGAAGCGTGCTAGCATGCTTGGGTACGGGAGTCTGTGGAGTCTCTCGAAAGAGGGCCAGAAATCAAAGATGAGGCCGCAAAAGCAAACATCCATGAACTGGGTCGCCACCTGACTGGAGTCATAGTTGGCAACGTTCCAGGCTCCATCGTGGATGTGAACCGTGAGCGCACCGAGAGCCTTTGCATGAAGGGTGTTGATGCTGGACTCTTGACGAAGATGAAGAACACCGCGTAGTTTGTTGTTGAGGATGTTCTCTATATAGGAGTCGTGATTGGCATCCTCATGTGGCCCGGCCATTGACCCTGCTCAATGTCCTGCTTCATGTCGTCGATTGATTGGTTCCAGAGTTGAAACGCTTTGTTCATCCAGGAGTAGTCGGCCAGCAAGCGGCTTTCGATTCTGAATTGATTGTAAGATGCGACCGCTATTGAGCCGCTATTGTGTTGGGCAATCCAGCGCCTGCGGGAGGTGGCTTCGAGAGAAGATCCAGGATTTTTCCATGGTGTTTTGAGATCCTCCTCCTCAGGCCATGTATAGGTGTAATCGATGGCATACAACCTCAGCGTCCTTACGCACACGTTCAAGGCTTGAAAGCAATTCACCCCGTACGCCAAAGGAGCATCCAAATTGTCAGGATGTTGCTGAACCAGTTCGACCGGGTCGATAACAGTCATTTGGTCATCGGGATGGTCTCTGTTGTGCGTCCGCAGGCCGTAGGCCATGCGGCTGCAAAAGTTCTCAAACTGAATTTCGCAGTAGGACGAGAGCGTTCCATCCCAATTTCTTAGCTGAGGGTGTGCTCTCGTAATACACCTGCTGTGCCTCACACCAAGCTTGATACCTCGTGAAATAGGTCTGCACACAAGCACAGGGTTCAGGTAGTCCGTGTCGCTGACAACATCATATTCTGGCGCGTCGGGGTCAACCTTGCGATCTCGCGCATCCTGCTCCAACACGGTCATGAAGAGATTGAAGTCCTTCAACACCTCAAGATCCACAAGGTCAAAGAGGATGTTTGTGGAGTATTGCTGAAGTTCATTCTGGACACGTGCGAGGCATGACGATGCTCTCTTGACGCAGGCGACCAGGTCCCTGTAGCTCTGACACCACGCAAGCTGGATCCTTAAGGGCGACCACTAGCGCTCTGAATAATTCGCGAGGTCGAGCGCTTCGATGATGGTGTGGGCTGCATGCGGCTGTCAATGCTGCAACGAAGACCACGGGCACGCCGGACTAGGCCCATTTCATAATTTGCTGCGAGTTCTGAGCCACAACCCCATGTTTGATCTTGGGCGGTAGCCGTTCTTGGGCCTCACGTAGCCGAGCAAGCACACCGCTCACCCTCCTGATTTCCTTGAGCGGATCATCTGGAATGACCCCACCACGTCACTCCTCGAACGACAGTACTTCAGGAAGCAGCGTAGCATATGCAGAAGGTTGAGCTCGAGGGCCACGAGATGGTGGGTCCGGTGGGTTTGGAGTCGGAGGTGCCGATGAAGATGCTCCTGCCGTCGGCTCGTCCTCATCAAAGGACGTTTGCCATGGAGTATATCCGCCTGACATTGCGTACCCTTTGGTTCGAGGGACGTAGCCCACTCTCACCTCAGCAACTACGTTGTTGCTTGTTCCCGATGCGCTGACCATTGGTCGGTCAAACACACGGGCCCTAACACCTCTTTACGGGGCACGCAACCAACAATCACACAAGGTAACGCAAAAGAATGCTGAATGTTCCTACCTTGCCTTGCTTGTTTGGGCCGTCTGCGGGATATGCACTCTTCTTTCCACGCTTCATGAATGGTACTTGCAAACACGGGAGTTTAGTTTTCAGCCTCACTCAAAGCTTTACCTCTGGCTATACTCCATGCTTGCGCTTGCCATCGCACAGGTGTCTTTCAGTAACGTTCACGCAGATCACGTTAGACGCAACACACCACGATTTTAACAGCAGTGCCCCTGCATGATCAACAACACCTACAGCACATCCGTCAACGCGAAACTTGATCAAGTTGTACTGTTTGACAAGCGATTGCACTTCAGGCCATTTCCAATACGCACACGTTTTAGGCAACTCGAAAGCAAGATAGGGCTTATAATCCGCAAGCCGGATCAGCAGGCGTCTAAGAGATTTGAGCAGTCCCCGGAACACCTTCTTCCTCTCAGGAACTTTCTCGTTAGGACCGTTCGCCTCCTTGACGTGCTGCCAACTCGACCCCCCAGCGCACGGAAGTGTCGCATACACAAAGACTTGGGCTTGGGGACTGTCCCTACGAACACGCCTCAACTCTTCCAACACCATCTCTTCACATGCCTTGGAATTAGCATTGATGTGCTCGCGCACGCGTACGCCAGTGGATTTCCCCAACGCGCTGTCGTGGGCACAACAGAACTCGATCGTTACCCGATCGAATGGTCCTGCTCCGGTGTTGCCAAGGGTGACCACGGCCTTCGCGGGCGACTCAGCATCCACGATGGACTGAAGAAGCTTGCGAGCGACCTTGCTTGTTCTTTTCACATCCTGACCCTGCATCTTGGTTGCCCCGAAGTCAGCATGAAGGTGTTTTCAATTGCAGACCTTTGCAAGGGCGCTTGGATCGACCCCCCACGCCAACAACTTCCATCTGGACTGCACGTAGGACACATTGAGCACAGACACCACGCGGCGTCCGAAACAACAACCGTCGAATGAAGCAACGCGTCCACCTTTGATGGCGATTAGTTGCTTGTAGTGCTCGGACGTTCTGATGAGGTCGCATACGTGACGAAATTCAGGTAATCCTCTCAGATACGCATGATTGGGGGCCAACTCATAAAACACATTGGCGGTGCGACTGTATACGACCGTGTTGAGGATGTCCGAGCCCGGAACACGGATTTGGCACGTCTCCAGCTTGGGCTTTTTTCTCTGCATCACCATGTTTCGCATCAATTGAGCCCTGGCCCGTGCCTTATGACTGTCATAGACTTGTTCTGCACGTTGACAATCGCACAGTCTGTCCGCATCGACTTTCCGTACTTTATCCCCTCGGTCACGAACGGATCGCCTAGGGACGACGTGAAGTTTGTCTCCTTGGAAGAGGATACCTTCTTGCCACTCCGTTTGACCTCCGAGACAGCCGCGTGATCGCCAGTTGATGCATCCGTATCTGCTTCTTCCCATTCTGAACCACTTGAAGTTTGTCCATCATCGGAATCAATGATTGCCACCACAGGTGCTGCCGGATTGCTTTTAGCCTTGGCTTTGCTCCTAGCCTTCTCCTTTGCCTCCGCCTTGGCTTTGGCGTTGCCATCTTTAGCTGGTGTTGCTGCGGCATAGGAGGGATCGTGCTTGTACGAGCACGCCTCCCTGTTGCACTTTCCTCCTCTCATCCACTGGCAACAATTCTTCGACGACGGGTCGGAATTCGGACTCCCCTCACAGCTAGTGGCGGACGGAGATCCTGATCGCGACCGTCCTTTGCCCTTGCTCTTGCCTTTCTTCGGCTCTTTCTTCTTGTGACTGAATGTGCATTGATCACCAGCAGTACATCCGCCTTCGGAGTAGTAGAAATTGCATCGTATGTTCGAAGCGTCCCTCGTGTTTGAAGAGGATCGTTGTCTCCCACCGCCTTGAGCTTTGGCCCTGGCTTTGGCTTTCTCTTTGGCTCGCCTTTTCGCCTCTGCTTGCGCGTAAACTGGCGCCGCATCATTCGCATCTCCTTTACCCTTGCCCTGGCCGCCATCTCCTCCTTTCGCGTTTGGCTGGGGAGGAGGAGGCTGCGACTTTGGTTCTGGAGCGGGCGCGGCAAGGAGATTTCTCCCCGTAACCAGCTGATGGAGCCCGGCGTTGGTGTCTTGAAGATTCTTATTCTCGCGTTGTCTCGCGATGGCCCTGTCCATAATCTGAAGGAGCTTCTCGTTCGATCGATCAGGATCATCGTAGGAGTGGATCTCGTATAGGAGTTGTAACTCGAGTTTCATGACGTTGGATCCTTTGACGTTCAGGTAGAGCAAGTCCCGAAGAGCGTTCTTTGACCGAACATCTTCATGTCGCACACGTCCGATCACCTCGAGCCAGACGGTGGCCAATTTGTTGTCTCCGGGGCACTGGATCTTTGTGAAGTGATCGATGGTGTAGATGACGTCAATGCGGTCCCTGGTTCTGAAGCTCTCCATCACCATGGCAATGATCCGTCTCCCTTTGATGATCGTGAACTGGTTGCCTCTTATATACGCATTCGCTTTGAGGTTAACGTCGAGAGAAAGATCGTTCGCACCCTGGCAAGCGCCCTTGAGCATGGATATCATAGCACTCGCTAGCTTCACATCGATGCTGTTATATCTTACTCCTCCTGAGTCGTTCAACTTCTCAATATGGGGAAATGGCTTGTAGGCTTCTTGTAGCCATCGAACCCAGTCTTCTTGACGCGGGTCGGCACACGTCGTGGCAGCTTTCCAGGCGTCCAGATTGAGGACTTTGGGACGACAACTTGTCAGCTTCACGTCTTGATATCTTTGGCTTGTCCATGGCCGCGTCGCCAGCATCAGAACCATCACCTGGTGGACCCCCGCCATCAGGGTCTCCTCCACCTGGCCTCCAGCCTCCCGGATTAGTGATATCGTCTCTGTCGCCAGGACCACCATTCCCATTGCCGTTGCCCCCACCACCATCTCCGTCAGCACCGCCGTCACCAGGAGGTTTCTTCTTCTCCTTGCGACTTTCTTCCAGCTCACTCTCAAATGTCTCTGCCCAGCTTTTCCAGTCATTCCGTTCTTTCCTCACACGTTCCTCACTCTTCCGGGCACGAGTTAGCTCTGCTATCAATTGGCGTACATCTTCATTCTCATCATCGCGCGATCCTCCGGCCTTATTCTGTGACTCGTTCGTTTTCCCTCCCGCGTGACCGGTGGTCTCTGCGAGGGGTACTGAATCATCACGTGGAGGAGTCGTACCCGAACCGGAGGTCAGGTTAGGCGCGCCGTTGGCGTCACCTTGTTGTTGCTTCAGCAACTCCCTCATCAACGCGAGGTAGTGTTGAGATCTCTCGCCCGGCTCTCGTCCTGACCGTGAGTTGCTCGACGACGATTGGCTCGCGTTGGTGACAAGCCCCGGAGGAGGATCGAGTTGCACCGGGTATTGCGATGTATCCACAGCCGACAGCGTAGCTGATCGACCTTGATAATTGCTGGTTAGGACGGGACTTGACTGTTCCAGCGTATACATGGGACCACCCCATGAAATCATTTCCTTGGAAGATTCACCGAACAGGTCATTGGCGAAGTCACGAAATGATGACTTCCCTGCAGAACTTGTGGCGGTATGTTCCGGACCGTAGGTCACGGGTGGCCCTTGAGGCGCTGGTGGAGTGGGAGCTTCGACGTGCTTCTCGGGAGTTCCCACATTGCTCCCGTTTCTGGAGTTACTTCCGACTGGACTTACTATTGTTACGGGCGTATGGCTCACGTGAGTGCTTGAAAATCCTACCGAATTACCCGCATGTTCCCACTCTGAGGAACGTGCAGACGCAGCGTGCAATTCTGACCTGGTCACTCTCAGCTCACTGTGTTGCGCATGAACTTCTTGTCTGAGGTGCATGATCTCCTCATGAAGACTGGGCAGAATCGGCCGCTGATTCGCTTCAAGGTTCGCACACTTTTCCCTTTCAGCTGTGATCTCCTCTGCAGCAACTTCACGCAATCGTTGGAATTCCTGAGCCATCGATCGGGTTCTCTGTTCTTCTTGTTGAAATGCTTGCTTGGTTTCTTTGCTCTCGCACTCTCGGACATCTTCACCACTTCCTTGGCTTCCATCATGAACTGCTCCGCAAGTCTGAGATCAGAACGCAATGACGAGTTCTCTGTTGCCTTCTGACGCAACACCTGAGTCATACGTTGATACTCTTTGGCCATATCGGACATCTCCCCTTGGGACTGTTGTCCAACGCGGAGAACCGCTTGCGTAGCCTCATTTCTCAACTCTTGCGCTTGCATCTGTTGCAGACGCTCATTTTCCGCTTGCTGAAGATGCCGCCGCAGTTGTTGCCTTGCCTCTTGTTGTTGTGCTTCGGACTGATGTCGTTCGTGGACGTGTCGAGCCAGCGCCAATGCTTTATCCCTTTCTCTCTCAAGCTTCATGATCCGAAGAGTTGCACAGTCGTCTTCTTGCGCCATTTCGGCCAACTTCGCTTGCAGTTCTTCAACGGTGCGAAAGTCGACTCCAGAAGATTGCTCGTGGGGCAAATCTTTTGGTGGTGACCCGTGGGGTACACCCGTAGCACCATCCCACGTTGAGTGAGGAGGAGTGCCTGGGCTTCCTCTGGGAGATCTTCGGGTCGGAGGTGTAGACTCACCGGACTTCGTCTTGGTCGACTCGGAGATAACTTTACGAGTGGTACTGGTGGCACTTGATGATCGTGCTCCGGTGTTGCGCTGCGAGCTACCGGATGCACTTGGACGTGATCGAGATTTTTTTTGCATCTCCTGTCTCCGGAATATGTCTTGGCGCATCTTTTCCACAGATTTCTTTTCTTGCCTTTACCATCAGACGAGGAAGAGACCGTGAGGTGTTCGTCCCCCGACGTTGTTTGAGCAGGAACTGCAGCGTCGCCAAAAGTGATTGTGGTGTTAGCGCTCGAGTCATTCGAATCCATCGTTGCCTTTGTCTTTGATGATGTGTGTGTTGGTCTCGTAGCTCAAGGCTACTCCTGATAACCTGCGTACAGGTTGAATCGCCGTTCTTCCCCTACCCAGTATTCCCAGCACTGTGGCACACTTTTGCTTCCAGCGTTTCGGTACGATCGCTGTCAGAAGGATGAGCAATGCTTCTACCCGATGGTTTTAGGTAACTTATCGCACTTGAGCCAAACATGAGTTCGGAGCACACGAGGTCTTTGCGGTAACAAGCTGATATAATGCATGACTACCCACACCAGTTCGGGTGCAGGCCGTTGGCCATACTCTATTGTTCCACGTGACCTGGCACATCCTGGCACGTAGTGCACAGGACCACGCTACGACTGCACATCTGTTCACAGCGTGGGCCACTGCTCTGTTGGCAATTTACCGGCGCTGATTTGGGGTGCAGATTTGGTCCTAAGTCATCTAGCGCAATAGCTTGTCGAAAAACCGAAATCCGTCCGCACAGCACAGCAAGTCGAGCATCTTGAATTCAATACCAGAGTGCGTGCTACCAGGCAAAATTATGCAAAATCAAATGTACGCTTTGCCTCCAAACTTTGCATCTTCAAGGTACCTTGTATCAGTACGTAGACCGAACCCGACTCTCCAAACGCATCACAAACCACATCGTTTTCCAGGCCTGCAACAAGCAGCCCAAGCCACATCATACCGAAACGCCCACTTACGTGACGCACATCCCTCTGAATTATCATCACACAGTAAAGTCAACTGCCCCGCCCACCAGAAGCCAACTGCCTCCGCCTGTACCTCATTGGATGCCAGCGACACCTCCGCCTGCGCCTGCACCAGCTCCCCTGCGGGGTGTCGGCAAGCACTGCAGTGCAAGCTAGTGCAAGGTAACACAGGTCATACAATGTTGGGTTCCATGCCTCTCAGCTCGCCACATTGCTTCTGCAGGTCGCTGACTTCAAAGCGACAAGCAAGAAGCTCGGCTGCTGACCGGCGCTGCCACTCTTCTACCTGGCTGCATCACACTACAGCTGCTTGCTGCATTGCGTGAACTCTCAGCAGGTCTGTACTGCAGCCAAGACCGTCTTCAGCAAAGATGTGCTTGAGTTCTCTCCAGGTTTCAGGTCTTTTGAGAACTGCAGGAAGGAGACCGTACGAGGAAAGAGCCAACATATGCCAACATAAGAGTGACGAGAGGCATCAATGCGAAACAGCAAACAGCATGGTACACATGAGTACAAGTTTAGAAGTCAAGCAGAGGCTATAGGCAACAGCTGTGCAAGCCCAGTCTCGGCGCTTGTTTTGCGCCAAATCCCTCTTCAGAACAAAACATGTTTCCCAGCAACGTCAACTCGCAAGGCTCCGCAAAGAGCCAACACATACCAAGGTCTCGAGATGAGCTGCACAGAAATTTAAACCACTCAACTACATCCTCCGCCCCACAGGTGGCGGCAGTCTTTTTAGAGAGGCAAGATGGCAAAAACAACTTCAAATTATTTACTTCGAGCATCCCCACCCTAAAGCCGGTATTGCACAAGAAGCGTAACGTTTCCTGCCCCCCCTCAACTGTCTTCCTTGCAGCACTGCAAATGCGCTGCAAGAATATTGATACTCTGCTGTCGGGCACTCCAGGGATACTCTGGTTGGGCACTGCAGTGATACTTTTCGGTTGGGCCCTGCAGGGATATTTGGCGGTTGGACACTGCAGGGACACTCTGCAATGGGTCACTGCAGGGATACTTTGCAGTTGGGCACTGCAGGGATACTTTGTGGTTGGGCACTGCGAGGATACTTAGTGGTTGAGCACTGCAGGGATACTTTGCGGTTGGGCACATCCGTTAACCATTGCAGGGATACTCATTGGTTGGGCACTGCAGGGATACTTGGTGGTTAGGCAATGCAGGGATACTTGGTGGTTGGCCACTAAAGTCAGCTTCCACTGGGCGAGGACAACATCGACTTTAAAATCTAACAACCCCACTGCAAGGGTGGGGAAAAAGAAATCAGGAAGCTCGACAACCATGCCCAGCCTTCGACAACCACGTCCAGCCTTCAACCATGCCTGATTCCTGGAGTGCTCCACACCACAGCAGCATTTCCACCCCCTCCAGAAATGCAGTAACTCATTCAGGCACCAAGACTATGCTCCCATTTTCGTCAATTCGGAAGACATCATGAGGAACAGTTGCCAACACTTTGAGAATGTCGGGGTGGGGGGGGGATTCAGGGTCCGCGGCCACTTGCCCCACTTGCCCGGCTTGCTCCACCCCCTCATAATGTGGGCCCCTCAACTCCTGCTCCGGAGGCTCCAGACAAACCACTTGAGGACCCCTGCCCCACTTGCCCCACTTGCCCCGCTCGCCGCCACTTGGGCAAGTGGGGTAGGTGGGTCAAGTGGGACAAGCTAAGACATCATCCAACTGTGCGTCACTCGTGCAACGAGTCGGTCTCAGCCTTTTTCTCATCCAGCCCGTCTGAGTTGGTGAAAGCCTGCAAGACGGTCGGAGTGGCTCGGATTTCTGTCACAGGGCGGGAGAGGCGGGTTCAAGAAAGCAATCGGGGCCAATCGACTTGAAAGTTTTGAGCCCCAGCTGCATCTATACAATCCAGATTCCAAAACCTGTGTGTTTCGGAACTGCCTGCGCTTGTCCCTCAGTGCACACGTGCACAACTCGGCAAGTGGGGCGAGCGAGGCGAGTGGGGCGAGTGAATGTTCCCCCCCCCTCCCGGCGGTCGCTATGAACACTTTCCCAACTTTGCTTTTGGGCTGCTTGGTAGATGTGGCTGGTGGACAGCCTTTTCCAAAGATGTTGTGTACGCAGTCAGCTCTGTTTGGTCTACAAATCTACTGACAGATTTCTTCCGACCTGCCAGCCACACTGGATACACGTTTGACTTTGGATAGGCAGTGTAGCAATCAGGAGTAAGGAGCGCATGGAAACCCGCAGTTCGTTTAAGATGATGAGCACTTGCGGAACTATTAATTAAGGCTTCAAGCTTCATTTCAGCGCACAGGAAAAACAGACTCCTTTTGCACCTTGAAGGTGTGGTCACAGTAGCTCGAGTGGCGCCAGTTTCACATTCAGCCTTATGTCACAGGCCTGCATAGCGGTCAGCATGTCAAGCCAGCAGGTTCCCTTGGCTTGGGCAGCTGCGCCACGAAGCCTTTCGTGACTTGAAGGCTGACCGACCAGCCAGAACCACCCCTCTTCAGACAGTAGGCCAGGAGGCAGCCCCTCAGTGCGGTTGAAAGATGATGAAGCTGGCTGCGAGCTGGGGGGATGATTTTTTGTGCATTTAGTGTCTTCGAGCTCCAGTTGTGACGATCATGCCAGTGGGCGCGACGAGGTCCAGGGCCTGCCCTTTCTGTGCGGCACACGTCATTCCCAATTGGCAGCATCTCAGTTGGGAATGTCCCATTCTTGCAGGACAGGACTCCGGTCCCTGTCCATGGTATGTCAAGGTGCCTTGGCTGGCCTTGTCCAGGTGAGGGGATAGGTTTGATGTTTGGGCTTTCAGGGGCAGGATTGCGCCGCAAGGCGCGGCTTGGGTAGTGGGTTTTGTTTTGCGGTGGGATTTTGTACGGCGACCCCTGTCCAGGAGCACTCGAGGTCCCGTCCAACAACTCGGACCTTTTTCCCTGACTCTGATCGTCAGATATGCAGCCATCTGCCATGTTCTGGTACTACCCAGCTGGCTGTAGAAAGCTCAGGGAAGCCGCAGGGGACCTGAGAGACTTCCTGAAAGCACCTCCACACTCTATGCCCCACATCTTCTAACTCTTCCAGCTAATCCTTGCTGGCTTCAAATCTGGCGTGATTCCTGACGTGGCGCTCAACAGACCCATGCTAGACTTCACAGTCTTCGTGCAGGTGTGCTGCACCCCTCCGCCGCCTCCTTTATCTGCAAGAGAAGAAACGCTCTTGTGTCTAGGCGAAGGCGGATCTTGCCGAAACGGCTTGTGCATCGATTTGCCACCCTGACCACTATAAATCAATCACGTGCATGTCAGACATCGGACTTGCCCACCTAAAGGCACGGGTGTTCACATGCTAACATGCCATCTTCAACCCCTCCTGACCTGCGCCTGCAGACGCAACTCTTCCGTCATCATGTTCTCGGCGCGCTGCCGCAAAGCTCCTTCTGCATTGAGAACCGCTGGTAGCTGGACAGCCGCTTCTTCCCAGTGTGCATACCTGGCCAGGGATGCTCAGCTTTCCCACCTGTCCTGCATCGTCCTCCTGCATGTCTAGAACTGCATGTACCCATGTACCCTACTTTGGCTCCTGGCATCCCGCTGCGTTTCTCGCATTCGCAGCGACTCCGCTTGCTCTGCGAGGGCCTTTGCCTCTCGAACCAGTTCACTGCAGAGCTCCGTCTCCATGAGCTCCTCAAGGCAAATTCGCAAAAAGGAAGCATTCGCTACCAGTTGCTGCATAACCCCTCCTGTTTGTAAGCACTCTTGGCTTCGGCTTCGAAGATGTGCAATTGCAAGTGGCTCTTCCTTGCTCCTGCACTGTGAAAGCAACATGCCTTCAAATGTCTTAAATTGTTGGTGGACCGACTCCTTGCCTCCCTCTGGACTTTGATGTCTATCAGCTGTCAAAGCTGCCAAAGCACGCCGAAGGCCCCAGGTCTCGCGTATCTGTGAAGTGAATGAATCCACAGCAAACCTGAGAATTCTAGCAGGCGCAGCCATGGACAGCTACAGCACTGCATCTCATGAGCTTCGATTGGAAAACATCACGTCATACGTCCACCACTACTGACTCAGTGTTTAGGTGCAGGTGTATTTGGGATTGCCTTTCGAATGGGGAACACATGGGAAAACCTGTCAAGAGCGACGACTTTCTGTATTTTCTCTCATGGTCTGGTGATGTCTGGTGCACAAACAGTATTTGGGATCTTGTCTGTCAATCGACCCAAACACAGTTCATGGAGAAAGGTTGGTCCTAGGTGCTAGATGAAGAATGCAGACTGTGCTAGTTACGCTGCTGCCCTCTTGCTACTCACAGTGATCTTGTGTCCGAAGAGCCATGCCTCTTCTATGCAGATGGGCTGGAGAAGTTGGGCTTGGATACGGACGGGGTGCGCCAGGACATCGGGCAGCGGCTTGGGCTAGCCCATCGTTTTTGCTTGCATAGGCTATCCGTGGGTATTCGTGCAAAAGGCGCAACTGACTCTGCCAGAATGGAGGCGCTGGCAAAAGAAATGTCTGCGGCGAACGCAGTTATCTCATGCATGGATGAGCCCATAAAAGGGTGCGCGTGGGACTGATATAGGACTGGGATGGACTTAACTCGCCGCTTTCCCCATTAATAACCACGCAGAACTTAAAGTGCTGGAAGGCTCCGAAAATTCCGAAAGCAGCGAAACTACTTGTGAAAGGAGCTCGTCAGGGGCATATTCATGCAGGGCTCAAGGGACCGTGAGAAGGAACGGTTGGGCTTCTGAACGGATACAGGGCATGGAGCAATTTCAGCAAAGTGTGATTCAAATTTCTACTAAGCTGTTGTACTAGACTTTACATACAAGAGACTCAAGGACATGTGGGTTGAATTGGGTTTTCACAGCCTTCCGAGCAATTTCAAAACCACCAATCGCTTAACGGAAACTACAGTAGGCGAGCGTTGCAATAATGCTCTACTGCCTATCAAAAAATGCAGTTTGGGTATTTACTCTGAGGGCTACCCACGGGCCCAGCTAAGGCAGGTGCTACTGCAGGGGGTGGTACTGGGAAGGGCGAGGATCCCGGAGCGGCACTCAGAGCCGTTGGCTTGAAATCCACCCTGCCGCCCGGCAGCGCTAGGGCGATAGTGTCAGTAAAGCACGCAAGATGTGACATTTGATCAACCTTCGTCATGCAGGCGCCTTCCCGCCGAATGGCATTCTCGCGGTTCGCGGTCAACTTCTCGGTGGTGCCGTTTCTCCTCGCATTGTATTCCCACAGTTTACTGAGTTTACTGTCATGATTTTTAGAGACTTCTGTTTAGCGCTGGTGGACTTCTCATGTTTGGCATGAACTTCGTTGCGGCGGTGCCCTTCTCACCATGGTCGTATCCTCGCAACGCTTCTCATTGTAGTGGCATCCTCACATATCCTCACGTCTTGCTGTCAGCTTCTTTGTGGAATGCTTCCTCGCCCCGTTCGCGGTTAACTTGCTCGTGGCGACGCTTTGTCACAGCGGTGGCAATCCAATGACATGCTTTCCTTCCAGCTGATGTGGTTAGTTAAGATCCACAACACACCAGCGTCTGGCGTCATAAACTTCCGTCGTTCTGTTCTTGGCTTGCCACTTGGCTGTCTGGCATGCTAAGCCCTAAGCTTTGGCCGCAGGTTAAGCCAGGCTCGTGCCTCGGTCGATGCTCCAATATTGAAGGCTCGTCGGTGGTTCTCGGGCGAAATCATGTTTGCCAGCCTTGCTAGCATGCATACCATGGATGAGGCGGGTTCCTCTGGCTCTCGGAGACATGTGATAAAGCCCTCCTGCCTTGGGGCAGAAATGGCTGGGACGTTGATGGCTAGCCATGTCATTGACAAAGTAATTTATTCTCTTTTTACACACTTGCGGCGGCACCTTGTTTCCTTTCGATTTGGACCCTGGGAACCCTGGCCATGGGCACAGTTTCAGGCCATGTTGCCAAACACTGGTTTGGCATGCAGAATGAGGGCGGGCTAAACATGACTGAGGCCGATACTGCAAGTCTTCCTCTGGCAGTCTGCCAAGGCGACTTCGCAATTGGGTGCATTTCTCTTCCACTGCAGCATCTTCAGCTGCTTGATCTTCTGCATCCTTACGGAGTTTCTTCAAGACCACGTATCAGATCCAGCGGCTGTTTGAAGGCGGACAGGGTGCTGTTGGTTGCATCCTGGAAGCAGGTATATTCAAGCTCGCTTGAGCGGCCCACGACATCAAGATCTGGCATCCCATGTGATATTAGCTGAAGGAGTGCAGATGCGCAGAACCCCGCATTGCCTGATGCAACATGCTTGCAAGTACTTTAATCCAAAGATGCCTGCAATTGGCTCTTGCTGTCAACTCTCAGCAGTCCTAGCTGCTGTCAAATGCAATTGTGACTGCGATTGTTGCCACACATGTCTCTGCTGATGCTCGATCTTTGAAGATTTGCGTCCGCAATACAGGGCAAGGCCGCTCACTGCCTGACTCAATGCACTACCTGTCAAAGGTGAGCAGCCTTTTGCTGATGGATTGCGTTACTGATGCGGTGAAACACCACGCGCTTCCAATTTTGGAAGGCTCAAGTCTAAATACCAGCTTCTTGGCTACCAACCTCAGCAGCACAACAACGACAACGACAACGAAGACGACGGCAGCAGCAGCAGCAGCAGCAGCAGCCGCACCACCAACAACAAGTGCAAGCGTATACAACAACCATAGCAACAACACTATAAACAACATAAACTACATAAGCAGCAGACACAGCATAAGCAACACAAACAGCATAGAAAAGAACAGCAGCATAACCACCACCACCACCACCACCACCACCACCACCACCACCACCACCACCACCATCACCACCACACAACAACAGCAGCAACAACAAGGTACAAACAAAAACAGTGACCCCGTCCAAGCCCCTATCCTCCTCTTGTTTCTACCATGGGTGGAAACCAAAACAGTGACCCCGTCTGTTGTTCTAGACCCCCCCTGCCCCAAATGATGTTGTTGTTTCTTCTCCTGGTGTAGAAACCAAAGCTGTGGCCCCGTGTGTTGTTTTGGACCCCCCCCCTAGAGCAACAACAGGCCCCCCTAAGGACGTAATATCTTCTCATGGCTTGAATTTGAACGAAAAGAATTTCAGAATACGATTTGTTTGCACCCCTCCCCCCCTCCCCCTTCGGGGGGGAGGGGGGAGGGGTCTTGGACGGGGTCACTGTATTAGATTGTACCACCAACAACAACAACAACAACAGCAACAGCAATAGCAGCAGCAACATCAATTTTGGCCATTCAGACTTTACCCTGCAGCAATCCCTGTGCCAACAAGCTCCAGCAATATGAACTTGAGAGACAGGCCCAACCATCTCTATGACACGTTGCAACAGGCCTTGCCAGCGCGAAGCGCATGCGAGTATGACATCAAGGGAGGTTCAACCCAGCAGACGTGCCATGCCTTACTGTTGCTCTGTGATCGCGAAGGCTCATCCTGCAAACAGCATGGCCTGCAAAACCTCACTAACTTGCAGATTGTTCTCAGCACGCTGGCCTGTGAGCATCAGAACTTTGTTGTTTATCAGAAGTGCTGTTATGAGGGGCAACAGCCGCCCAAACGTTTGACTGCGATGCTGTCTGCTTGCTTAACTGGTCCTTTGGTTATAGAGACCTGTGCAGCAATCCCAGCAATCAGAATGAAAATCAGTACGCCAGGAAATCTTAGCCAGTTGTTGCACAACTTTAAAACAAGGCTTGGGTTTACGGGCAAGATCAATTTTTGCATGTTTCTCTTCGGGAGGACACAGGTGCGCGCCAGTGCTGAGGCCAATTGCCATGCAGCAACAAGCAGGTACGCCAACTCTGGCATCACAGGATTGAGCCCACCTACTTCTACCAAGACTGAGCGAATGGCAAACGGCGAAGGCAACGTGCTGTCCTTGTGGACGAAGCCAGCCTGGATTAGCTCCTTCTCAAGCTCCTGAGCCTACACGCGCGGGCACAGGTGTACGCCAGCGGACTCGAGCTGCTAGAAGTCCTATCTCTCAATCTGCCTCTTCCACAACTTTCTGTGTCTTCTCCGGGATGGAGCCGGTTTCCAGGTCGATCGCCTGTGCTGCTGTCACAAATGATGTCTGCCGCAGGCAAGGCTTGGAGTCTTGGAGATCTCTTCCTCTACCTGTGACTTCAAGAATTCTGACACGGAGCGCCAAGATGTCCTAAGCCTATGCAAAGACCCATCTGCTGAGATGCGTCAGGGTGTGCAGCCGCTGCAGCCTCTTCAAGCTGCATGGCCAAGTCATGCAGCTGCATCGCGGCAACAAAAGAAGACGATCCCATAACCTCCCAAAGACTCCAATATAAATGAGCTCAAACTGATGCTAAATGTCCATGCGTGATGATGCACGAAGAATTCTTGTCGGCCTGTTGTGCAGCTTCTTGCAGACGGTTGAAGTCCTTGTTGAGGAGCGCCTGGGATGTCACATAATGTCACCCTTTGTGACGACATGTAAGACCTGAAGGATATGTGAAAGTGGTACCTGCTCCATCTCTTGGACTTTCCGTCGCAGATCCGCGGGGTACTCTGCAAGAAATGCACGGAGTTGCTCCTCGCGCTGGTGATTTCCCATAGCCCTGCAGGACTTGCACAGAGCAGGCTCTTCATCACTTCTTGATCGCAGAATGTCGCAAACGCTTAACAACCCGAGCGTGGCCTTGTCCAGTCCATGTGTCGCAGTGCCGGTTCGCATTGCCCAGGGTCAGGCATTTACCTCGCAGTGCTTCTGATGCTTGACTCAAAACGGCACAGCTTTGATCCTGCCTTGGCTGTACCAACAGGATCCCCAGCTAGATTCCCCATTGTGTTCATTCGAGCTCGAAAGAAAGGCTGGACTTGGCAATATTTCAAGGGTGCAGGGACCGAAGCGTGGTGTAGATCAGCACAAGCCAAAGCAGCATCCTCAGGAAGTCGAGTCTTATGCCTTATGCGCTCGTCTTTTGAAAGCCGCGCGGCTTGTCAGACAGCCCAGCTAAATCAAATGCACACAGCATCGGGTTAGCCGGCAGTCCGAAAGGAGGAATTACCTAGCGAGAAAGCTGTGAGATGCTGGCAGGCTCAAGGCCACAGTTGTGACAGAAAATGCTGAATGGCGCTTTGCAAGCTGAAAATTGTTCAACAAGTTCAGCAACACACGGCAGGTCTGTAGCCCTGTGAAGCGCTGGAGTCGGAGAGCTTTTCCACTTCAACCTTTTGGGGCTTCTTTTGGTTTCTCACATGTCCGGCTTCTCCAGCAATGCTTCTGATGTCTCTGGGTTCCTGCGGCACTTCTTGCAACGTGCACTCGAGCCGAAGAAAGGCAAGAGCAAAACCCAGCAAAGCCCTTCCCCGTCCAGTAGTAAGAGGTGTCTGGATTGCGCCTGGATTGTAGTTTCTGCCATGGTGGCGGCGGTTCTACCTGGCTCAACATTGGCCTCCTGCGGCGCAGTGTGGCAGCAGAAGCGCCTGTGTCTCATTTGTGATCGTGTTCAAGTAGTAGAAGATACCAGCCTCGCCGTGTGAAATCTTCAAGGGTAGCTAGATGAGCTTGACAAATTGCACCTGCCGCGTGGATTCCATCCTCTTCCACACGGATGCCTGAGAAAAAGTCATGCAATGAAGTGCCGTACCATTCACGTGTGGGCAAGAAACTGTCCTTCGGTGCCGACTGGACTTGGCTGCTGCCGGCTTCGCTGTTCCCGTTTGCAAGCCGAGGCCTGTGTTCAGTCGCAAGACCGAGCACAGCAGGAAATCGCAAGACCAGAGCAAAAAAAGCATGCCGAGTCATGCCCTTTGCCTCTTTGCCTCGGGCTCCTTTGGCTGAACTTCCACAACTTCCACGGTCCTCGGCTCCTTTGGAGCTGTCCAGGAGCCCCAGTCATCGTCGCTGTCATCTTTTGCCCACTGCTCTTGTGAGGACTGATGGGCACCGCTGTCACCATTGTGGTGCAAGCTTCTGGGTTCCTTTGCCCATGGTGATGACCACTGCCGCTCCTTCTCCTTGCCCCAGCGCCCCCAGGATGACCAAGATGAGCCCCAATGGTTCTGATATCTCTGGTGATCGGCTTCGCCTGTCCACCGATCCGCCTGGTCATTTGCTCGCTTCTAGTGACAGGCAAACACTAAACATCCGGGCCTGAGATTGCAGCATGGCGTCTGCCATGATCTGTGCAGCATTGGCTGGAGCGGCACGTAAGTGAAGCAGCTTTGTTGAAGCGTCATACTGCCTCGCCAATGAAGGCAATTCAACGCGTTCTCTCTAGCCTCCGAGTTGGCTTCCGGCTTGAATACCATCTTGAGGCTGGCATGCTGCCTGCGGACGTCTGCACGTTCACTAGCAAAACGAAGGCTCTGAGCTAAGTCTTTTGGCCTTCTGGACAAGAATGACGAACATCCTTCCTGTTGGAAGGCGTGAAACAACTTCAGCTGGCAATTGCCCACGGAGGGATACAGTCGCCCACCCCACACCCCACCCCACCAACAAATCAGTGACTCTCAAATCTATCACATGAATGCAAGGCGGGTGAGTCTCAAGCAGGTCCGACTAGGGAACGATAAAAGCAACGCTTGTGGAGATGGATGGAACTGCCAGGCCTTTACGCGATCTAGCTGCAGACCGCACAAGAGCTTCCCCAGGTCTTGTGGCAGCGGAGATGTAGCCTACGCCAAGAACGAACACATGAAGTGCAGTGGCTCAATTGTTCTGAACCCGTCTTGTTACAATGCCATTAAAACTGATTATCAGATTGACACCAAGGAGCCTCAAACCACCGATTGGTGAAGGGCTCGCGAAATCTGGTCTGCCAGGAATGAACACCAACAAACAATATCACTGCAGGGACATAGCACTTGGTCAGCCTGGTAGGAGTGCAGGAACACTCTTCCTGCCCAATCCCTGTCGGACTGCCTGGAAGGTGCAGAGTGTGCAGAGCCTTCCCAAACACTGCAAGCTCTGTAGCATCAGCGTCTGAGAAGCAGTCGGAGCACCGTACAAAGTGTCTCCCACGATTGGGAAGCCAATTGCACTGCAGTGGAACCTCATACCAGGCTCGAAATTTGCCATTCGGCATGTTCCTGCAGCAGCGTGTTAGCTGGCCTGATCTGGTGCGTCCGACCTGCACACCGCGCCAGACGGCCCATGGTCTTGAATGTCAGAGCACTGGACACCACTTACGTGCTGTGAATATGTGCGAATGCACTTGCAGCTTGCAGTTCATACTGGCAAGCAGGACGGTCACCTTTCAAGTTGTCAGGTGATCAGAAAACAGGATTATGGGCCGGAAAGCAGTAATTCCTCTGGACAGCGCTTGAACACCCTGTGTCGCGATGTCTCGCGATTTTTGAGACATTCCAGCATACAATCTGATGATCACCCTGCTGGTCTCGAGAGCTGTGCCCAACATCGAATAATGCTGCTTGCTTGCATTCAGGATGTTTCTAGCTGCTAGCCCGTCTTTGGGTCAAACATGAGGTGACCAGCTTCATGTGCTTACACCCGCCCAACCCATGACAAGAAATCCTTCGTGCAATCGGACTGCTATGTCCAGGATAGCTTCACGGCTGTAATTAGGGAATCCACTAAGCTGCTGTCACAGCGAATTTGAACTTCTCTTGAGGTGTACAGTAACCTCCGGCTTGGCTGATTGTTGCTGAGAGTTGGGCCTGTCACAAGCTGAACATGCAGTAGCGTAAACCTTGGAATAAAAGATATGACCAATCCAGATGGGATGCAACGTCTCGACCTGCTTAAGGTCTGCTTAGAGTCCGGCTGCTCTTGCTGCTCGTTGAAGAACCATGCGACGGGGTCATACAAGGTGAGAGCATACAGCCTTCCTTGATTTTCTCCTGCCAAGCTGGCACAATGTCTCTGCATGAGTCGCTCTTCACCAGCTCCTGGCTCACGGCCATCGACGTCTGTGGGGCCTCCTCACATTCTTCACATGTTCATTGCTCCCTTCAATCTGACAAGAAACATCAAAGTACGTAGCGTTGGGCTGCTGCCGAGTCACCTTTGCCTCCATGACCATTCTTGCTTTCTTTTCCCTTGCCCTTGGGCTTGCCATCATTCCAAGGCAGCGCCTTCCATCTTCCCTGCACAAGACTTAAAAATGAGCATGCTGGGGGAGCACATCGACCCAAGCATGTTGTTACTGCATGAGGGATGCTGGGCCTCATCGAAGCACATGGCAATCTCGATGCGTCCGCGTCCTTATACTCAGATTCACTGATAACAGCAAACGTTGCTAGGGGCTCCTATTCCTCGTTCTGCGACCTGCCGAACACTAACAGCCTGTTGAGGGCCTGGCGACCATGTTCATGGCTATCGTTCGGCTCATGCCTCCAATCCTGTGGCTGTATTGCTCCAGGCACATCCATATGAAGTCAGCGGAGGCCTGAGTGAGTATCTCCGGTTTCACAGGGACTTGAGCCTGTCATGAGGGGCTGAAGCAAGTCAGCGCTGCCGATGTGAGCAATTTGCTTTGTGGCGATTGGGTGGGGCGGCTGAGTTGGCGTTTTTTGCCTGTGGAATCCGGCCGCGTCTGTTGTTTGCTGTGGAGGCTGCGTGCCTGTTTCTGCTTTGGAGGTCTTGCCAAATGCAACGATGCTGCACGCGAGCGTGTGATTTCAAGTGACATTACAACAGTTGCCACGTCAGAACGCCATCTCCTGCTAAAATGAGGACGCTCGACCCGAAAGTACGCTTTGCACCGATAACCCATGGACCCTCCATGCGAGAGCACGAACCATAAACGCTTCACGCTGACACTGGATTTTGTACGAAAACATGAAGACGACCTGCCCCAAACCTGACTTTAAGCGAATCTGAGAAACCCCGCGACAAAAGAGCCCTCGGTTCTGCGCGAAGATCTGCACTCTGAGCTGAAGCACGCTTTCAATCGGTCGGGCGCGTCTGCTTGTACTGGGCTTTGACAAGACCTGTTAAACATAATGTTTGTGTTGGACGTGGAAGGGAGGCAGCCCGTCCATTGCAAAACCTGGACGAAGATGAGAACACCTGGCTACTGGTATGTTTGGATCGGTTTTGCCAGGCATTGTGCTGGGCAAAAGGATGCAACACAGCACAAGGCGGTTGAGTCGGCGCAGGTGCAACTCTTCCCATTTGCAACACATGCAGCTTTTTTGTAGGATTTGATCGGGTGCGGGCGGGCATTGTATACGCTCACACCAGCATAAGCGGCCGTGGGCGGCCTTGGGCAAGACGCTAATGATACTTTTTTAGGGAGCGCCGCGGAAGCTGTTGTTTTGGGGACTAGGTGGCTCGGGGGAAGGAGGGGGACAACTACATCCGTGCATCACAAGAGTCATCAAATGAACCAACTCTTGTTTGAGCCCATGGCCGTTGAACTTTCGACATGCTCAGAGGAATTGCTAACCTCATCAATTCTTGACAAAACATGCCAAAGAAAGCGTGCACCTTGCCCAAAAGCACACGAAATTGCAAAATGAGGAGACGCGTCAGTGTCAGCAGCTACAGTTCACATACTACCAAGTAGACTGTCTGCTTTCAGTCAAAAAGTTGAAGGGCCGCGAGCACTTACCTCTAGCATAATCTACCTCCATGATAATATGAACCGAGTCAAGAAGTGAAGTGACTTGTATTCGAGAATATTCTAACACTCACAACTTGGTCATTAAACTCGCGACATGCTGAAAATATTGGCAACAAGCAAACCTCACAAAACTTCAGCACACGAGGACCATGAACATCGCCAAAAACACGCACAACTTGAAAATTACGAAACACTGGCAGACGTGAAGCGAAAAGCAAATCCCCCCCTTGCAATGAACCTCCCTAGTATTTTGTTCACACCGGGGGGGGAAGGGGCATTATTGTAAAGAACTACAGGGTCACCATTTGGTTTCTATTATAAACCTAGGACTAAAATCAATTTAAGATCAAATACACGATAATTGAATACCTTTCAAAATTTGTCATCTGAAATCGGTTGAAAGCTGATTAATTAAGACCTACTGCAATCAAAATTTAACCAGAATCCAATGAAGCCTGCTCAAACTGTTGTGAGAATCAATTGAAATAGAATTAAAACCTGACAAAAACCACTTGCAATCTAATTGGTATGTATTCAACATCTATTGTAACCATCTAAGATCTCATCAAAATCCAAAGATCTCATCAAGATCTGACTAGAATCCATTTGTAGCTGTAGTAAGATCAAGCACCCAAAAAAATGAAATTCTATCAAATTTAAATCTCACATAGCCTTCATAATGTATAATGTTAACAGATATAAAAGCTAAAAACAATGAAAGGCCTCGGACATCAACAGAATTCCTACTTCCTTAGGTACTTGATGTTAATCCCCGAATGACCGCAGAACCCCCTGAATTCACTATTGCCTGGATCCCAGCTGGCCCTTTACGAGGTAGTCTTGGCCCTCTTAAGAATGCTCTTCCAGTATTTTCCGTTCTCTGGCAGGGGGCTCTTATGATTCGGCGGGGTCTACTATTGGGGCGAATGGAGTAGAAGAAGATGAAATCGCGCTGCTGTTTCTGTAAGGTGTAGATTGATGGGATCTGTCAGGCATTCAAAAGCCAAGGGGTGTTGGGGCAATCCCCCTGCAAACAGAGACGAAGCTGATAAGATGAAGCATCTTACTAGGTTCTGATAATAATTATCGCTTTCGCAAAAAAAGGAATAGCTAGACCCCAAATTTACAAAACATGGACGAAGACGAGAACACGTATGTTCTTGGTGGAAGCCTCCTCGAGCCGACTCTACTCGCAGGCTGATGCAGGCTGTAGGTTCAGGGTTCTCGGATGTTCTTGGTGGATGTTGATGAGATCTGCCAGGCATGTATACCTGCGTATCAAGACCCCGAATCTGCAGCTGCCGTTTGTCAAAAGCTGGTGGGGCGTGAGGGTCGACAGATATGGATCGCAGCAACATGCAACAGCAGGACTTCGCGCCCCAATGTACTACTCTTGACGCCAGAGCGCAAGGTTCAAGAGATATTCCAAGGACTCTCTGCACAAGAGTACAGCTTCTGATTGAAAAGTCAAAACGTTCAACACGACAGCTTGATGTGGGGCAAGAATGCTAGGACGCTCAAAGCAAAGTACCCGGCTGAGTGCAAGGACGCTCCATGCAAGAGCGCGAGATGCACTGACTATACAAGACAGGCCCAAGCGAGAGCCTGATTTCGTGTAGATCCATGAGGCCGTGTCCATTTTTTGCTGTGGAGGCCGGGCGCCTTTACGGTTGCGCAGGCTCGCGCTCACTCGCTCATTCATTCACTGACTCATTCCCGTGTCGGCTGATTGCTGCGCACAGGCGTCTCGAAAACAAGAAAAGATTCACTACAAAAAAAGGTGCAACGCCTGAGAAAGCTTTCGAGTTTCAAACCGCCGGAATCCATGCCACAGGCACATGACCACGCACAAGGGCAAAGTAGTACTTCTCCGTCCCTCCCTGTTCGAGGCTGTGCTCGCTGTTGAACTGCCTCGAGCAAACACGTTCCTTTCAACAAACGGAGAAGCTGTGCAGGATCCGAAGGCATTAGATGCAGTGAGAAGTGCTTCCGGATTTCTGGAAATCCGGCTTTGGTCTTGGCTGCGACCATGACACCGGAGGTCTCCTGTTATTCTTCTACAAACATTTTCATTCGGTGGAGTTGGTAGCCGGGAGTCCTTGTCCAATCTGTTGCAACAGCCAGCCTGCATACACGCACCTTAGCTTTCCGGAAAGATGCTGGATAAGTCTCACAGCTTCTTACAGGGCATCTCTCGTGCTATGCGGTAGTTTTCCCAACTCCTACGATGTTACAAGCACTGCCCGCAGACCAAGCACCCCAAAATATTTGTGCATGCAGTCCCTTTTGAAAGACCACCACCACGTGTTTCCGCGAAACAACGCGGGCAGTCCACTTGAAAAGCACGGTGGTCTGATTTGGTCAATTTTGTCCTGGTTCGCGCAATGAGGATAAACGCGGCATGTCAAAGCAATCGAGGTTCACAAGGTTCGGCTGGCAGTACCATGCGCATGCTCGCAGCAGAAATTTCGAGGCCGTTGGGCAGGGCCTTTTTTTTATCTTGCACCGGTTCCATATTGACCTCGTTCGGGTGGACGGTTTTTTCCTGACCTTGTCCGCCGCTGAACTGGTTTCATTACCTGGCATATGGTTCCGAACATGTTCGTACGCGGGCCCTCCCTCGTTGCATGGGCTGGCTGGGCAACCAGTGCTTATGGATATTCTGGGACGTGGCTGTTTCACATAGGACGCCAAAGTCAAACGAATGGGTTCACAATCCGTTGCCTCTGTTTTACATCACATGTGCGGCCCTCATTCCATCACCTGCGCCCACCTCGGCTTAGGCTTTAGGTCTCCTTGAGTCGGTCTGGACATTCTCGGGTCAGAGCTTTCTGTCTCCTCACCGGAGTGGGTTGGGAACGAAGTGTAATTATGACTTACAGGTTGCGACTTGTCTTTGTTGGCACCGTGTTCACCCTTATCGCCGTGCGCGTTGGCGAAAAGAGCTGGGGTATGCTCTGGCACATGTTTGGCCCAAAATGGCCGCATTGCGTGCCTTCTGAGTCTGTCAGATCCATGAAAACACTTGAGATCATACATGCCCTGCAGCACGCAACGTTTGCCCTCTAGCTTTCTGTCGATGTGGGCTTGCAATAGCGCGTAATTGGCCTTCAGGGATGTAATAAAAATGGGGTGTCCACCCTCATAGAATGCAGACGTACAGCACGCCGCCCACCGAGAAGACCTCCCAATGCTCTGGGTGCGCAAGATCATGATGGTTTGTGCCTTTTGGAGATGATTTGCACATTCTGGATGCTCACCAAGCCGCTTCCATGCAACATAAAATCAACAGGCACAGCGTGGCAGGCCCAGCGGTTAGCAAGTGTCAGCAAAATGTGGCAGAACAGCGAAGCTATCAGCGTCTGCTTTTTTGAACTTCGAAATGGAAGCGGAATCTACGAAATGGAAGGAGACTTCATGTTGGTAGCATCTTTGAGAATGTGAGATCCAGTCCACCGGAGCACGGGCAATGCTCGCGATAAGACAACAGATTTCATGTCCCGCAAAAACTTGCAAAAGAGTTTACGAGGAAACGGCAAAGCAAGCCGGTGATGGTCTGATGGCCCGAAAATCCAGAATGTGCCATGTGCAAGCAAGGCGCAGATTGCGCATTTCCCGCAAGTGCAAGGCTGCGTCTTGATATCTTTTTCCTTGACCTCTGCAGGGTGTGCAGGCGGGGGGTGGTGAAGACAAGTCGCACATTGCGCATGTCCAGCCTCTGTCCAAAACTCGCGAGTGCCAACTGCGGTCTCATAGTCGAACTTGAGGGCCAAGTACTCATGGATTTGGACGACATCCTGAATACCACTTCGTCAGAAAATACTCCAGTCCTAACAGAAGGCCAATGGACATCGGGAAATCGTGTTGCATTGTCGTTGGGGCCGAAATCATCGTACTGCTAGTGTTGACGAGGTTGTATGCTGATCGTTTAGCAACACATCCTAACTCAAGAGTATTCCGGCTCAAGTCTTGGCATCATGGCATTGCATTGCCTTCCATTCAGCACAGTTCAGTTGAGGCTTTCGTTCCCCACATGCCTTGCTCTGCTCTGCGCTTTCAGCAAGAAGTGTGTTGAAAGGATCCCGGCGTTGCTCGAGCAAGTGTGGGCTTCTTGCACTTCGGGGAAAGAATTGTTGGAGCACTCAGCACACTCGGATACACTCGGGCCTTCTCACTGTTCAGGAGCTGCGTTGGCGTTTGAGCACCGACCTTATAATAGCGAAACCATCAATCAATGCTTGTAGGTGCAGACAGATACTACATGACAAACTTGCAAGCTGAGATCGCGACAACTTCAGGTAACCTTTTGTTTGTGTTCCCACCGTAGGCACAAAGAAAGTTTGAAGGCTTGTCGACACAGAGCAGCTCATCCTGCGTTCAGGTTGCTCCAAGGCCAAGCTGGGAACAGGACTGATGGCAAACACCAAAGCAGCAATAGCAACACGAGTCAGAAGGCCAAGGACAAGTTCTTGCCCCAATTGCTGAGGTCCGTCTCGCCCAGCAGCTTTGGAGGAAAGTGCCGTGTGCGAACCTGCCCGGTGAGAATGAAGTAGTGGTAGTTCTGCAGAACCTGCAACTGATATCAATCGACTGCCGCCAAGAACAGGTCGTGACTCTGGGAAAGACTGCTGGTTTTAGAAAGTCACCCTGCTGATTTCTGCACTGCACGACTCTGGCATGACCTCTCAAGCGACTTTGACAATGCTCAGGATGCTTCCGATGATTTTACTTAGCAACAGGAATAAGAGAGCATCCTCTCGTTTTCTGCCAATACGGCGACCAAAGGCCAAAAGCCTGCCTTATGTGCGTAAGTCCCCTGAATAGATCAAAACGAAGCAACAGCCCCTGGCCTCCAAGACTTTCGGTTCGAGCACAGCTTTCACTCCCCTGGCAACCCGCATTGCAAAGCTGAACACCAGCAGGTCAAGCATGGCGAAACAGCCATGTACTTGCTTGGAAATGTGTTGGTCAATTTCAGATCAAGCCCGTCAGCTCGACGGACCGTGGAACGTGTTTGGATGGAACCTTGGGTGGGGCTAACACGCTTGATGCTAGCAAATCATGAGCCTGCAAATCAAGGCTTGAGCAGCTCAAAGTCGATTACTTCCTGAAAGAGAAGCTATGGCAGTTATGGAGTGCTGGACATTCAATTAATAAGTAGGCAAGCAGATTCCGCTCCTTGAGCATGCCTTTTGCACCGTTCCAGGCAGCTTTGCGCTTTGGGCAGTTCTTATCAGAGTGGAGCATCTTGTGTATCTTCTTGACGGTACCTGCGCCACAAGCTGCTCATCGCCCAGGATGACACGAGATCTCTTAAGGGGCACCCCAGACGAACTTCGCAAGCTCGTCCCTTGAGGCAACCCTTTCCTCATCTAGAGCGCGAAGTAGTTTCAAGAGCTGCAATCACACTGTCCTCATCAACAAAGGTCTGGAGCATCGCGGTTCGTTCCTGAAAGAAGCTTGAAAAGGCAGAAATGCCACTGGCCCAGGCTGCAGCCCAGAGGTGCCTCAACGAGATCCGCAAGCTCCTTGGTAAAGTCCGTGACGCGAGTGCTCTTCTTGGTGGCCATCTCATCCTTGCACCAGTCACTGGACAGTCCCAATTGCATGGCCTCTAGGAGGCACTGGAAATGTGTCCTCTGCAAGCAGCAGCTGCTAAACGAGCCGCTCACTAGCGCTTGATGCCATTGCACATGCAAGAAGCAGCCAAACTGGATAAGTTGTGGTCAGCCTGCAGCTGTGGATGGAAGAAGTATAACATAAGTATATGCTACATGAGCCTACAAACTGAAACCATCAGAGCTACATCCGAGACTCGTCCCGTTCTCTCATCAATCATGCTGCAACAGGTTCCATCAGGAAGCAGCACGCTAACTATTGCATGGACTGTGCCGGCAGACTAATGATTCAAATTTTGCTGTCCTCCTGCCAGCTGTTCTGTATTACGGTGAGTGAAACCGTTCAAGCAGATTTCAGGGTTGACAGTTGCGCGCTTTGGCAACTCGCCCAGAATCACAGCAATCGCAACTTCACTTCTTGTCCACCAAGGCACCAGATAAGACATCTTTGGCACGCTCCAAAGCTTGAAGTTCCTCTGACCGCGCCTGCTTCACGGAGAAAGCGACACTGCATCCAGCAAGCACCCTAACTTGCCAAGCCTTCTGACGAACATTAAATTGGCTGAGCAGGAAATCGCAGCCTGCTTGCATAGCAACACCACCCTCAGGCATCTGTCTGCAGCGTCCTACAACAATTGCACCAAGCCACTTTCATGAAGCTGCTCTTTCGACTTGAGTAGCTGCGCAATCTCCGCCGCGGTGACTTAGGTTCGTAGGCTGCAGGGCTGATGTCTGACTCTCTTGCTCAAGCTTGATCCCCGTTTCCCAAACCCAATCTGGGCACATCCACCATGTCAATGCAAATAAAGCACACGCTGTCGACTCAACCTGAGACCATCTAAGACCACCGCGACGCTTCGCATCAGAAGTTTCAGCCAGCTGGACCTCCTGTAGGGCTGCAACGAATCGGCAATACGCAAACCGCATCTTTGCCTTCTTCGGTAGGAAAAACCGAGAAATTATGTGAAATTGAGAGAGTTGTCATGGTTCTTGCCATGCTCTGGCACAAGTGGAGAGGGCAGAAGGTTGTGCAAATCAGCACGAACGAAGCTAAATTCTTGCCACAACTTCCACAAACTTGACCCGGAGTTTAAGACCGGGATTCACAAAGAGGGCCGTAGACAAAGTTGGACTTTCCTGCGGATGATGCAAATCGGCGTGGTTGTTTGCCTAAGCGACCTTCAAGCGCTTTAGTTCAAGTGCGACTTCACACCGCAAATCTGCACGGGCTTGGTTGCATATCCAAACCCTGGCGTTTCCACAAAGCTCAAGGATGAAGAGGTCACAAACACTCAAATCCGGATCATACTGTACCCCTCCACGGGAGCAGACGTCTCATGCTTCAATCAAGTATCTTCTCCAGATTTTGGCACGCTGTTACCCCACAACCACACTGACAACACGGGGTGCATTTTCAATCTCACTCAGATGGGAGACATCACCTATGTGAGAGACGCAATGCAGGACTGGGGCATGCCACACCTACTCAAAGGAGCAAAATCGCTTGCAGGGGTTGACATTCAATTGTGCCAGAATTATATGGTTGGAGACTGCTCATGTTCACTTACTGTGGCCGCTCATTAAGCTTGCATGTGCTTGGCTTTGAAAGGGATGCCAGGTGCATGCCCAGCTTGGACAGGAACCCAACCGACTCGCTTCCACTCGGTTCCATTCGCTTCCAGCTCAGCGGTTGCTGATTCTGTGCGTATCCGCACAGAACCTCTGCTACGAGTACGGCTCGTAAACAAGCAGTTGGAGGCTGGCTTCAAGCACCCATCACCACGCTCCCCATCGGCAGGAGCCTGTGCTCTGTTCAAGGACCTGGTATGACTCCAAAAGCTGCATGACCAAAGCAGTCGGACGGTCTTGGACGGAGCCCCCAGATGTCCTGTTTTGCCTTCTCTGCGTTCAGCTTCTCAATCCCTTCCTGCTTGAGCTTGACGGAATCCTCAGTCTCAGCTGCGAAGTCCTGTCATCTATGAAAGCCAAGAACATCACACTCAAGCTAACTCAAGCTCCATTGTCATTGAAAGGCCGCACCTCGTAGCTCGTTTGTGCTGTTTTCTCTGCTTCAGCAGCTTCTGCTGACAAGGCCTCTGAAAGAAGCCACGTGAAGCTGAACGGTCCCATTCGATCCAGGCCTCCGTGTCCCCTATCACGCTCTGGATAGTTGCCAGGACGCCCTTGCCTGTCACTATAGGCTTTAGGGCATTCGTGCTTTTGGAGGAATTGCACTGCCTCCAGAAGCCTTCTCATAGGCTCCAAAGCCTCTCGGTGCTGATGCCAGTCATAGAAAGCCACATGCGCACGCAGCTGCATGTTGCATGCTGGATACCCACGTCTGCTCAGGACATAGACTACCAGGACCCAAGCAAACACCTACCTTCTGGCTCTCCAGGTGCGGTAGCCTGGACGAAGGAAGCGCCCTGCACGAGGCACAATTCAGGCTGCTTCCGGCATGACAATGTGCCAGATGTTTAATCTACCTGAGTTGCCTTCGACGCTATGCAGGATCGGCTGAGTGTGCTAAACCAGCATGAAACTTTCGGGAATACGCCGGATGTTACAATTGAAGTGCATGGCACAGTATGGCCTGAGAAGCATACAGATCTTTCAGGACAGCCAGTGCCTTGCAACCAGCAAATGCAGCTAACTTGTTGCAAGTGACATGTACATGCCTGCACAATTGGAGGATGCACGTGTTATGACCACTTAGACGGTGCCAGCGGGTGTTGATCGTTGACACACACAAGCCACCCTCGGCTGCCGATTCTTGCCTGCTGAAGTGCAGACTTCTTCTCACGCTGCTCCAAAATGAGGGATTGGAACTCTCCATTCTCCTCGCGCATGCAAGCAGAGTCCTATGCCAGGTAGTCTCACCTCAATGCAGAATTAGCGCTGGAGTCCTTCTCCCGATTTTGACTTGCGAGTTTCACTTGAGCCAGTAGCTCATCCACCTCACTCTGCCTTCCAAGATTTGGCAATCCACCAAGAAGACTTCAAACATTTACCAAGTATCCCACAGGGCAGCAGCTTCATCTGTGGTGGCCTTGATTTCTGCCTGTCAGCTTCACAGCCCAGTCACACCACCGCCGGTCGCTGGAAGCAGCTCATCTGCATCATGTGAAACCATGCACCTGCAACTGCATCTCATCGGCGCCTTGCTTCTGCTTGGTATTGTTCTTGTCCTTTCAGCCACTCCAGGTCACGATTCGTCAATCCATTAGCAGGAAATGCTTTGACGATGCGCATAGGAAGTCCAAAAAAGGTGCTAGCCTTGGAGTGAGAAAGATCACTTGACATCTGCAGACCGTCTCCTGGATATCTGCCTTGTTGTTTGCCAGCTGATCGGAACAGTAGTCGCGATGCTTGACCTGATATCAAGTCTGCAAACTCTTCTGACATTCCAGAAGTTGAGGACATTCTGCCTCATTCTTCTGCTCTTTCTCCAGCGCGACCGTCATGTTCTCAATTGCCTGGTGTCTGCCAGTTGCGAGAATAAAGGGAGCCCTACAAGGCAAACCCAAAATCAGGTTCACGAGGATGGCCTTACGGGGCAAGTTACGGGATGGGACCAGTCACTGCGCAATCTGCATACTGAAAGGCCATTCCTGCGAACAGGGCCCTTACACGCTAGAAGCACTGGCCAACAGCAGCACACCAACAGAGCCACTTTCAAAAAGAACTGCATGTTGAGACAAATTTCGGCTCGAGGCATACAATCGAAAGACAGAAGCAAAAACAGAAGCAAACCAGTGTATTGAAACTGCGGCGGGGAGGAGAGTACGATCGCACAGGGCCCCCAGGTGATCCGACCGTTTACATCGTTTACAACCCCGCAGCAATCTGCACACCACGGTGTATGCCAACCCAACGCCCTCGCTTGCATGTCTTCCGCCTGCTGAATATCTTCAAGCTCGGAGCACGTTCCACCGCTCTCTGCGAGCCCGTCAGCTAAGGCGCGCGCGAGCGTGCCAGCATTTGCAATCAAATCCGCTGATTGCAGGCTGCGCGATGCGGAATGCTTTCTCGTCCCGCATGTATGCCATCTCTCGCAACGACAAAAGCAGAGAAGCGGCACGTATCGGCAAAGTATAGACGCTCTGGCAACAACAAATATTGATTGAGCGCTCAGGATTTCGCGCAGCGTACCCATAGACCTCGAGACCAACACAAGAAAAAATGATGACAACAAGTGTTAGGTCATCGCAAGGAAGCATGAGGATGAGCATTCGAGCGTGCAGGGCAGACGGAATTCCAGCAGAACTGGAGCAACAACAAGCAGCTGACCTTTTTGACGGCTTCGAAGCTGTCGATCTTGATGCGGAGCGCAAGCGTGACCAAACGGAGGTCATGTTTTTGGCCGACCTGGAGTCTGCTGCAAGTACTTTCCAGTCATAGCTTGGCCCGCGGCTGCATTCCTCCAATCTCTCGCCTTTAGCAGTACCTCGGAAAGCTTCTGCCTCTCTTTGGAGACTGTCTTTTCCTGCCCAAATCAGGTCATGCACGGCTTTGGCTGACTGTGTCTCGGGCCTGCAGGAACGAGCCAGCATTGAAGCGACCCCAAAAGCCTATAGATTGCTTAGCTCCTCTTGGCTCCTCCTGCGAACGGCTTCAGTCGAAATGAAAAAGGACGCCGTGACCAAGCATGTCCTGTAGGAAGGCCTCCTTCACCGCCTCTTCCTTGAGGATTTCCATGGCCTTTGTGATAGCTGCCACCTCCTCTCCGCGTGTCTTCTGACGCTGCTCCCACTCCTTCTCGCCATAGCAAATGCTTACAGTATTTGCTTGAAAACAAGTGCGCAAGAGCAGTACCTGCCTTATTCATGGCTGCACACCTCGCCTTCACATCTGCAAGAAACCTGAAGCCACAAGGTTTCTACACTAAAAACAGCCATACTTCAACTGAGCCAACAACTTGGAATCTTCTGCAATTTGGACTTCAAGGTTGGCAATAACCTGCAATGAGCCCGAATCCGCTTTAGCAAATGTATCACAACAGTACCAAGATCTGAGGAAGCTGCGTCCTTGTTGCTTGCTTTGGTCTCAGCGGCATCGGCAATTGCCTCACGCCTTCCTTGCTTCTGTTGCTCAAGCGCCTGCATTGACAGCATGGTCTATGCCAAGTCTACAAAGAAGTTTGTGCAAGTGTGGCCTTCACCTCTGCCTTCTTGTCTTGCAGCAGGCTGTCATGGGACTGGATCCGACGAGTCTCCTGACAAGAATTCGGAAGCTGACTGTTAGTCGCATGTAGCCATGCTGCGCAGCGGCTCACTTCGAGTCCGGTCCTGACTGCGCGCGGCGGTCAGGGTGGCATTGGTATCATTTTTGATGCCATTGAGAACAGTCTCAACCCCCTGCAGCAAAACCAGATCTTGCGTGCACAGGTGGACAAAGTCACTGGCCTCAGCCTTCAATGGTTCACGCCTGTTTACACGCATGATTTGAATAAGTGAGCCAAGACCAAGCCGAGCCCTGCACTGAAGGAATGATTTGCCGTTCATTCCGTGCATCTCCAGGTCCAGGTTCAAGAAATTCTCCACTTGCCGGGAAGGCAGAACTTTTTCTTCGTGGATCTTGTTCCGAAGCACCTATCATCAGGTCGGTCCGCCTATCTTGCTTTTCTGTGAAATATTGGCCGCATGCCGAGAATCCCTAATTTAAGGCCCTAACAGGACCCTCAAGCCAAAGCCCGAAAGCACTAAGCCTGAGGTATTCAATTTCAATGAGGTGTCAGCAATCGCTGGCAGGTCCTGGATATTCCTGGATCACTGACGACTGGGTTCGGGTTTGATTCGGGCTTTAAGTCTAGGTTTGCTGTTGAGTTCCTTGGCGCCCTTCCCAATATATCATAGGCCTGGGTGTACTGCACATCAAGTTCACAGGCTACGAAGGTATGACACGATCTCGCAAGAGTACACGATAGGTCTGCAGGGAAATAATGAAAAAACAACAAGGTGCAACGAAGGATTTATGCTCTTGTATAAGAGAAGGCAGGTTCAATTATTGTGGACTAGACTCAGACTTGCAGAAAGGGCGCGTACTCAGCTTTGCCAAGAAGGGCACAGGCGTGGGTGGGTGGAAGAATCGCCGGCTGTGTCTGCGGAAGTCATTTCCAGACATTGCAAGCATGCTAGCAGCTGTAGTGTCACAACTTCTGTCTTTTTGGTGCGCCTGGATCGGCGTTCCGAAAGTGTTGGGGCAAGTCAGGTAGTGCACAAACGCACACCGTAGCATGACTGCGTCACATACCTGCACCTTGCCTTCCCAGGATCATTCAGATCGAGTCAGTTCTCATGAGGCTCAGGGAGTTGAAGAGTTGTTCTGTAGAGCGCGCGCGGCCGTCTTCAGAGGCTTCTACATCATCCACCTTGCAACCCAGGGATCTGCCATTGTCAACTTCAGCCCGAAGTCAAAGCGTGATGCTGAAGTTTTACCCTGCCCCCGGTGCCTACAGTACCACAAGGCCTTCCATGCTCCCATTGCTCCCAGCCAACTGTTTCCACAGCCATCACCCGGTGGAATTGTTGACCGTGGTGGAAGAACCGTTGTTGGTGTGTGGAAAGTTGGGGACAAGCCTTAGGCGGCAATTGGATCAGAGTGCAACTTGGGAGACGAGCTGGCGTAGGTCCGCAGCCCCAAAAGTTGGTCTTTTCCACAGGCACTCTAGACTCCAGAAGCGTGGTATCTTGTGGGTCTGCCATGTAGGTCCAAGAGCCACTTGTCCGCATGAACCTGTTCCACAGGGATTTGCTCGATCAGAGGCGCTTCTGGATGAATCGGGTCCCTCAAAGCTTTTCCAAGACTTGTCCGCGACCCACCAAAGTTGCTCCAGAACTGTTCCACAATCCGTCAAAGTGAACTTGAGAGCCACAGGCCGGGACGAAAGCTCAATAATGGACAGGAGTGGTGACAGAGGATGTGAAGAGACAGACGACATAAAACCAGAAGAGCAGGTAGCCCAGCCCTCACTGCCCATGAAAAGAACTGCAACCTTCCTACCGAAGCCTTCCGCCGCCCTCCCTGTCCTGCACTGCACGACCACCGCACCCCGTTCTCGCGGCCACCCTCCCTTACCGCCACCAGAGCCGCCACCATATTCCCACGCCGCACCCGCGCCGCAACCCGAACTCGCGGCATCTCGCAGCCAACCCGCGCAGCACCGCGCTGCACCCCATCCTCGCAGCCGCTCCCTACAGCCGCAACACCACCCGCACCGCTCCATACCCCGTCCTTACAGGCATGCGGCCACCCTCCCTATAGCTTTGTATAGCTGCCACCACCACACGCCGCACCCCGTCCCCTCCCCGTCCATATTGCCGCCACCACCACCGCGCCGCACCGCGCCACACCCCGTCCTCGCAGCCACCCTCCCAACAGCCGCCGCCACCACCCACGTCGCAACGCGCCGCACCTCGTCCTCACCTCCTTGCCCACCACTACTAACACCGCGCCGCAAGTCTTGCACACAGTGCTCGGAGGCCTTGACCTCCGCAACGCTCCGCACGCCCCGAAAAGGGAAATCAAACACAAAAGAAAATTGACAATGAGATGGACATGGAGATTGCATAGAGATTTGTAGGGTTCGGGGTTTGGGTTCCACGACTTGGGTTGAGATAGGGGTGGTTCTCAAAATTGGGGGCCCTTTTGTTTATGGAGTATATTCCGGCACCTGATATTTAGGGGAACCAAAACGGGACAGCAATTTCTGGAACTATCCATTGAGAGCTTCAGGTTTCGGGCTTGGGTTTTAGGGCCTAGGGTTGAGGATTTAGATTTCAGGATTTGTGAGTTGTTACAGCTACCACACGCTCCTGACACTTTGTTGGATAACCTTAAGCAGTTCAGGGCAGCGTGCGGGGCGTCTTCAACGACTAGGCTTCGAGTTTTGGAGGCTTAAAGGGGTCCCGCTTTCTTCCCCCAAAATATCATAATCCTTGTTCTATGATGGATTAGCGTACCAGGGTAGCATTGGCACTTGGAGCCACTAAGGAGCACCCAGCGGCACCACACCATATGCCACACGCAACCACCATCCGCAACGGCCCCACCCTCCGCAACCAACCTCCCTGGATGCCGAAGACTCGGAGGCCTTTACCCATCTCAAGAAGAACCCAACCCCGGAGGGTTTTTTGGGAAAAAAACCCTCCAAGATCTCTCCAAGACTGCAAGAGTTCCCCCAAGATCCCGCCAAGATCCCCTCAAGATCCCCCAAGATCCCCTCAAGATCCCCCAAGATCCCCAAGATCCCTCCAAAATCCAAGATCCTTCAGGATCCCCCAAGATCACCCCAAGGTCCCCCCAAGAATCTGGCCAGAAAGGCCCTCCGAGCTAACACAGCAAAATCCAGCCACTGGTGCAGGTTAGCTCAAATCACAAAACCAGGCAAAATTCCGCGCCAACCCAACCCCCCCGCAAGCTCACATTGTGAGGTATTAAACGAAGCTCCCTTCCGGGGTGCTTTCGTGATAACATGTGACACATGGTTCACAATTTTTCCCGGAAGCCAACCAAGCTTCCCACAATACTATACTTCCCAACCCAGCAAAGTTTTCGCTCAATGCTTTCCTCACGTGCACACTACTTCAGCCTGGCTAGCAAGACTTCCAGCCTGCTGGTACTTCGAAAGCAAGCTTCCTGCCTCGAGTAGGAAGGATAGCAAGCATATTCTCAAGAGGAAGCGGTGTGTGTGATAAGACGGTCACTTCTTCATTGTTGTCTTCCTGCAGCTCGTCGCATTCCGTATGGATGCCACGCTGGATTGGCAAGGGTCGGCGAACGCAGCTTGAAACGAAAAGCTGAGGTGCATGCCACCTTTTTGGATGCCTCATCGATCTCATTGATAAGACCCACCAGACGCGCCTCTTCCCTGGCAAGCTTTAGACTTGGTTGCTACACATATGCGAAGCAATCCATAGAAATGAGGAAAGCAAGACAGACAAGCTCAGACGGTTCCAACGTTCTAGGGCTGTGGCTTTTCAAATGCCTCACGCTGGCCGCGGCGCATGTCTTCTGCAGATGCCATTGTTGCCTAGAGCAGCTGCTCGCGTCTATGAGCAAAAATGGGCATCACATCTGCGGCCTCCGCATCTGCAACATCCTGTTCAGTGCACTGCTTACATCGGTTCACAAGTCAAAAATCCTTCGAGCCTTGGACATCTGCTCAGACTCCGCACTCCAGCGCTTACTGTCAGCCGCGAGCCTGGCATGGTGACATGCGCAACTGCTGCCCTCTGCTGCTGCTGGTGCTGGTGCTGGTGCTGGTGCTGCGCATAACCGTCCTGTTGTTCGTGCTGGTCAAGGCCGCAATTCTACTCCGGCTGCTCGAAACCTCGACGTAAATTGATCAAAGCAAGACTTCTGGCATGAACGCATGCGTTCACCATCTTTCACCCTCAAGCTGCAGGAAGGGAACTGAGGATTCCTTGGCATAGATGTTAGAATTGCACCAGCAAGCCTCGTGGTCTCACGCCCACCATGGTCTCTGACAAGAAACTGCTCGTGGCCGTTGCCTGCTTGTCATGCACAGCTTCATCGCGCTCCGCGTCTTGGTTCATTTCTTCTTGCATCGCTTGCAAGAGCTCTCTCACCTGCACGTCTGCAAGCTGTCTCTGCTTCCTAGTTGCGTTGTACTCCTTGTATTGCATTGCCTGCGATGGGTCTTGATTACTGTCGCTGCGCAATTGACAGAAGAGGCCTTCTGCACTGGAGCTCTTGCGGAGGTCTTGAATGTGATTGCATCCACGCAATCATGGATGGCAAACGCCAAGAAGGCTCCAAGCAGTTTCCCCATGGGGGCCATGTCTTCATTCAGCCGGGTGCCTTTAAAGGCACTGAGCCACCAAGGCCAGCATGCGTTCCCAAGCAAATACATGCTTTGTACAACCGTTGCGCATTCCACAGCACAATGCTCCGTTTTGTGAAGCTTTTGCCTTTCCCTCTTTTGACGGTCTGGCAGTCCCTGCTTGGACCCTGTCTTTGGGTATCTTGCGTCTCCACAACGCCGCAGTTCGCAGCAAAGCTTCGGTTTTCGCAGCTCTAGCTGGGAACGCTCTGAGACTTGCACAATTGAGCAGCCTCTTGCCTCAAACGAAACCATTCCGAAATGTGCGGCCCTGGATTGACCACACCTTTGATCAGAGCAAACAGGCAAGAGGCAATTTCACACATTGCTTTGGCTCCAACACTCCTTCCATGCAAGACCGCTGTCTGTGGCTGACGAGTCTTGGTATCATCCCAATTCTCTTCATGGTATGCTTCAGGCAAGCGTGTAGGCGTGTAATCCAGAGTCCAGAGTATCGGAAGATCGATTTTCTACAGATCAGGTGCGCCGAAGATAAACTGGTCTGTGATGCGGAAATTGTCTATGTCTGCTGTGTCTAAAAACTTGTACGAAAACATGTCCTTCTGAGCCTGTACTGACATCGTGATGTCTCTGGTTTCTCACAGCACTTGTCAACAAACAACACATGAACGCTAGCGACTGCTAGTGCAAGCTCTGGATAGTGACAAAGCTGCCTGTGGAAGGAAGCCAGCACGGCCCTCCAACAGCGTATACCGCCAACGGCACGACATCACAGGAACAGCAGAAAACAGTAACAAAAAAAATGTCGTTGCAATAGCCGTGCCGTGACAAATGCCGTTCTTGAATGAGGTCACTTTGCCTGTTCGTATACATACGTCTTGACTGGTATGAAGAGCCAGTTATGCCAACGTCCGCCCACACACCTTTTGCCAACATGGAAAGTCTGTGTAAAGTCTGGCTGGTAACTTACTTCAAGAGGGTTGTAGAAACTCCATCGGAAGTTCTGAAAACAGTTTGGTTCTTGTGTTGTCTGAGCTGTAGCTGACGAACTCTTCATTTGCTTTCTGAATAACTCTCCCATTTGCGGTAGCTCTGTGGAAAAGTGTGTTATTCATTGCCAAGATTCTCCGTAATATCTGAGCTAAGGAGCATGTACACACTTTTGCATAGCTCGCGTTAAGTGAACTGTCTCGAAACCGTATAACAGTCTCTTCTTGACGACAGCGTCATATCATGTCGTTATTTTCATGTTGAATGTCCATAGCAGCGCGATTGGGTGTCTCGAGTATGTTGCTTCATCAACTCTAGCTACTCGCATGCCATCGGCTAACTAGCCTCGCCATTCATTGCAGTGTAACAGCAACAACAACAACATCAACATCAACATCCCCAACAACATCATGAAGGAAGTATCCGATGTCACGTAGCCTGCGTGAGCTTGCGTGAGCTTGTTTCGCCTTGTCCAGTGAAGGGTAGTGGACAGAGTGGTTCTAGTCTTTAGTGCTTGGTTGAAGGGGGTTCTCGCTCTTCGAAGATGAAGATTTGTTTGCAAGCAAATCTCAGGTCCCAAGATCCCATCTCCACGATCGTGAAACATGTCGATTTCCGCATCATTTCTGTAGGCCTTGCAAAACTGAAAACTACGTGTCGACAAACATGTCAGTCCAGAATGAACATGTCCAAATTTGGCAAGATGACTGCAAGCGGGCACATGTATCTGCAAAAAGTCCATCTACACGTCCGCACATGGAACTGCAACATGTTTGTCTTCAGCACACTGTAACATGTCTGTCTGCACCGAACTGCATCCAGAATGCAAGCACTAGAAAATGTCAGTAATACCGTATGTAGTAATTACAAGCACTAGTCGCCGAAGCAACAAAGGATTGCACCGCTTGGTAAAAGATACCACTTGTCACTTGGCAGGTACGTCAGGGTGATCAGCCCTGATATCCAAATTTGATGTGGCCACTTCGTTGGACCATCGCACACACTAAATGATGGTCCCCCTTGCTTTCCGGAAAAGATATGACAAAGTCAGCTCACCCGAAAAGATCATGAGGCATGTACAGGGCTTTCCGTATGACATGTTGAGAATGCTCTCAAGCCTGCAAACAACTCCTAGATTTCAGTCAGAGGTGAGTAGCAGCAACAACAACAACAACAACAACAACAAAGTCGCTTCTCAAGCCATAACTTGTTCCTGTGTTGCGCATCGGTGGCGATGAACAAGGTATCGTCCGCGTACTTGCTCTATCAAAATCCACTCCTTAATGGTGCGCATTCCTACTTGTAGTACTGGTATATCATACAAGTACCAACATCATCACGGGTCAATACAGACATGACTAATACAAACAGATGTGCAGACAGAGCGCGGCCTTGACGCATTCTGCAACTTTGAACCTTGTCGCTCGACTTGCCATATTCGCTGAAGCATGGGCGCCCATGACGGTCCAGGAATGTCGATAAAGTGTTGGTAAGCACATAGATGGTTGAAAGTAACGGCCATCCAGTCATGGTCTATTCTATCCAATTATCCATTGCCTTCCCCGGTTTGAGACCCAGCTCAATCTGGACCGTTTCGTAATCCAACACATGTAAAGTCTGTAGATGCAATTTAAAACAGCAGTTGGTCTGTAGCTGGCTCGACGGCAAGTCTATACGGGATGTATGGCCTGTTTCGTAAATAGGAACAACACGTGCCGAACATGCATTGCTGGGGACTGATTTCAAGCACCAGCATTAACGGAGCGCGCGCACTCTTTCCATCCATCCACTTAGGCAACTCCTTATCTCTAGATACCTAGTCCATCGGGTCCTGGTCGTTTGTTACTTTGTTCGTTCCTCTAGAAAGAATTTACCTCGAAGGAAGCCTCTACATCCTTTTGGCTGTTCCTCCCTTTGGATCTGCGAAAAGTGTTGAAACGAAGCGCCTCTCGTGCCTCTTTGTGTGTTGCCTCCCGCTTTTTGCTTTCTGCGTTGCGTTGCTCCCCTTACTTCCTGCTTCTCTTTTCTGCCTGGCGTTACGTGTCCTGATTATGCCTTCCGCTGTGTCTCAAGATGTTATAGGCTGTTCTTGCAGGGGCTTGTATACCGGCAAATTTTCGATGCCCCATGGAAAAAAGCGGTTGGCACAGCATGCCAAGAAAGACTCTCTTGCGGGATGTCCCCAACAGTCGGCCAAGCTTTCCTGGAGCTGAGTCTCAAACACCCAGTTGCTTGCGACGCTTCTCCAGCAAAGCTAGAGTATCCTCGACAAAGGTGTTCATCCATGCTCTCAGAAATGCAACAGAAGATGCAATGCCTGCACATGGTGCAAAGATTTTCAACAGCATCCGCCTTACCCACAAGGCGGTCGGTCATCAGTGGGATGGGAGGAACATGAACCAAAGGCTGGCAGGTGTCAGCACTTCTTGTCCACTGCTGCGAAACAGCAAAAATAGCATGCAGGGCTGACCGGTGGAATAGGGCGTCCTTGTATCACCTGCACCAAGAGACACACCGCAAGCATAAGCCACCTCCTTGCCAAGTGGCCGACTGCATCTTCAAAAGGTTCCCACCACTCTGCCTGCAATTTGCGGTCAGGCAGGCAAGCCCTCCCACGTGGCATTTGGAACCCATGCACCTTCTGGTGCACCGGATTCTCCGAGGCCACACAGACGACGGGGATGTGGCGCTCATGAAGCCGAGCAACCTGAGCCCAAAAGCATCTGCTCTGCATCACCGTGGCATGGTCCTGCCTCATGCACGAGCCCGCCAAAGTGAAGCCTCTTTGGACATAGGCTGACAGTCCCAAGTGAATATTCAAGCGAAGCGCAAAGGATTTAGCTTACCTCGGATGTCGGAAACCAGCGATGCCGCACATGGGCGGCCTCATTCCGGCGGGCTTCAGGCTCAGCAGGCGCTGCACAGCAGTGCAGCAGAGCCCGCTCCCGGTTTCTAGCGCACTGTTTCCCGTCACTGTTGATCAGGGGTCTAGAACATGACCACGATGCTTTCACGTCCCTTACGTGCCCTGACCGAGAGCTCCGCAGTACGACTGCATCAGCACCATGGGAAGAAGCCCATGCGAACGCCCGATCCAGAGCTGCGATCACCGCATCGCGGTCCCTGCGACCAACATCGTAAAACATTGATCTGCGCCTATGTTCCGCTGCAGAGATCAAGTGCCGAGCGCTTGTTGAGCATAAATCTCCTGATCCATTCACCAGTTACTGTACACTGTACACCAAGTGGAATAAGTGGAAAGAGAACACCGCAGCATTTGAAACAAAACTGTCCTGCTCCCCAATCTGCGGGTGGGCAGGTAGGCCGAACCTTGCATCACTAAGGCTTGGCTGTGAGGATGTAGTGCAAGCTAACGCGCGTTGGGTGCACCAAGCGATGTCCACTTGCGGAGGTCGGTCAACCCATGGCCTCAACTGTTGGCCATGTAGCCACCACGACTGCGCTTGCAAAGAACTCCAAAGACTCCTGCGCTCCATGCTTCAGCGGGCCACGCAAGATGCCCACCCCAGAAGTGTACACGACGCTGCCCTGGCAGACACAACGGATTCGAAAAAGTTACGTGACCACGGCGGCCTGTTTGATAGCTTCATCAGGCGGAATGGAGAGGTCTCTCGCCAAACGCTCGAAGGCTTCGAAATAGGTCGTTCGGAGGAAGATTTGGTCCTTCGGCATTGTTGGGAAAAATCAGCAAGTCATTTCGCATTCATCTTCACTAGCATCAAGCAAAGCATGGAAATTGAACCTATCATGGTTTCTATCGCCTCCCTTCAAAGTGGCTTTCAGCAAGTGGCTCATACAGCCAAATCCTTAAGACCCTATGGGGCCAGCACGAACATCCCAAAGTCCATGGCAGCGCGACTATGGAAGCAACAGCATTCAAATGCTCGAAACAAGGATACTGGACTCAGCAAAGACAGGAGTATTTCAGGCAAGCCGGTGTTTAGGACAAAGCGAGATGAATGATTTGAGGGCTTCGCGCCCGGTTCAATGAAAAACAACGTGCTCTACTAGACGGAAAGGTTTGTCTAAGCGCAAAAAATCGAGGTAATCAATAGTGTCACGACTGCTGTAGTCCTCGTAGATGTGGTTGTAAGTGCGTTGTCGGCTTCGCGGGGCTTCGAGTGGTGTGCACCTGCGCCATTCCGGCAGGCAGCGAACCCAGACACGATTCAACAGGATGTTTCCCAGTCGCTGCGGCTGTGGCATGCTGCATCCTATCTTTTCCGTTGCAGTGTTGGCAATGCAGGTGCCTGAGCACCGCCACACGCCGGCACTGCGGCAATCTTGCGAGTTGCAGAGCCACGTCCAACGGGTCACAGCCTACAGCAAAATTGGGTAGCTCAGGCTCTGCGTGAAGTGCCAGAACACGACGATTGGGCAGCAGGCGTTCGCAGAAAAGATGCTGCTTCTGGCCTGAGGCCTGCATACAAGGTAGCATCACACAGTTGAAGTCGGGAAATGGAGAGGGCTACTTCACGTATGGACATCACGGCACCACCTTCATTGTGCTCAGCGATGGCATGCTAGTGGGAGGATGCACGCACGAAATTGGTCTAACCAAATGTCCGCACTCCACCTGCCAGCAGGTGAGACAAACCGCGACTCCAGCCAAGCCAGTCAACGCATGTCAATGCTGAAGGCCTTGCTTTGCCCGAGTCCTTGCAAAGCCGACAGCCACAAAAGCCATGCATGGCCTTCTGAGCAGACTCGGAGATGTAGCAACCCTTCAGGCATGCCTGCACACAGTGCATCAATTTCAGACGGGATGAGCTTCAACACCTTGATTCTAGTGAAAGCGAGATCTGCGATCTCCCCATCTGGCTAGCACTCACTCGCTGCAGTTCTCTTGTTTTGGTAAGCGCCGTCAATTATGGCTGATTGCATGTACAAACCCAGCAGGCTGCAAGTGAGGCTTTGTAGTCCGCAATCGTCAAGGCCAGAAACCACATCTGGATCGGTAGAGAGTAATGGTAGATATCATTCAAAAGCTTCTCTTGCGCATAGCAACGTCACAATGATGGCGCCCGTCGTTGAGAGATAACACAAACTCTTGTGGCCCAAACGTTGGGAAGCTGACAACCGGGATGAGAGCACCTTTGGGACTCTAGTTCTTCTGATAATCCTAGCGAAGGGGATTTTGCTGATGAACATGCTTGGAAGCTCAGCCTTCTGACAACATCGCCGCGCTGGGCAGCGATGCAACTGGACGGATCCCATCATGGCAAGCATTCAGCGTCCCCTGTTTCAAAGCTCGAGCTTTGTTTATGGTGGCAAGAACCTGGCATTCCCATCACCAGGCGGGGATTACACAAACACATGCACGTGGCTCCATTACCCACTATGGCCATCCGATCTGGGATTACACCTTAGAAATTGTCAGCTTAGCGTCAAAGGTCTCATGATGCAGGATGTGGTCGTGATCTGCTTTCTTGCAGCTGTGGAATGGCAATTGTATTCTAGAGTCGCGAGCCTTTTCCCAATGCAATCTAGAAGGATTGCGCATCATGGACAGCAACCGTAGGCAAGGACGTCTAAGGGTAGGTTGTGAAATCCCCTTCTTCTTCTACTGCCTATGCCAACCCCCTAGAGGGCTGGCTGGGGCTACACCCCATAGCCGCGTACGGGTTCGTTGTCTGGTCGGTACCAGCGAGGACCGGGATACTGCAAATAGGATTCGCCCAATCAACCCCAAGTAAAACACCACACACCCTCAAAGCAAAGATCAATTGCCTCTGGGGTTCACCTATCAGCTTCTCCCCTACTCTGGCTGGCTGTGAAACCCTGGTCATGCGTTTCCCCTCCCCTGCAAGTTCAATCCCCTCTCATTCTCTCTCTGAGGCTGTAGATGAGGTGTAGATGAGGTGGATGAATGTCGGCTTTGTGTCTTGCGATACAACAGCCGTCTACATGCAGATGCCTGTGCAGTGCCCAGGAAAATGGCCGTGGCAGCCAGGGAGCGCTGCGACTCGGCTTCCTCGCAACATCAAGAACTCTCAGGAATTCGTCTGCAGTCGGCCTTACCTTGGTTTCAAGGCTGCTTGCAACCCATCTTGGATCCAGCCTGCCATTGGTTGACACATCAGTTGGAGCTTGGGGAGGTGATACGAGCATCGCAGCAATTCGCAGCATCTCGCAATTCCAACACTAATCGAGCAGGTGGATCTGACGCAAATCATCTCGATCCAGATTGAGAGCTTGCTGAACTTTCTGCAGCCTGAGGAGCACATTGAAGGAGTTTTAAGCCTGGAGCTGGGAAGCTTTCAGAAAGGCAGCGCCATGTGTCCAAGACTGCGACTCTTCTTGCAGTCGGGGTGCTCGAAGAGCCTGGCGCAATGAGATTAGGCCACGACACCCCCAAACGAGCACGAAAATGCCTGGCTGATGCTAGGACCTGTCAGCTGCAGGATTTGTAGACACGACTTGGGGAGAGATTTCGCTCCTGAATGCTCCATGCCGTGGAAGACACCGGCTAAGGCCTGCGACTTGGTCCCATAATCTGCTGGTCAGGAGGTCAGGAGGTCAGGCTTTGGCAAAGCCGGAAGACCCTCTGAAGCTTAGAAGCGGACACGCCGCTGCGTCTGGGTCATGATGAAATCTCATGCATCAGTGCATCAGGATCCTGTAAATCATTGTAAACCTACTGCACCGCACAAGAATTCTTCCTGTGATGCACTTGTCGAACTTGGTTGTGGACTGCTGAATTGATGCACGTGGGCCGCGTGTACTTAATCAGGTTTGAGGGTTGAATAACAACCGGGGAGGCGTGACATCACAAACACAGGTTGATGCTTTCACATGTGGGGTAGATGGCATGCACATGGAGCTGATGCACACAGCCAAGCAGCTTCAATATGCTTCGATCACGCTTTTCCCCGAGCGATCACGACTGCCCCCGGCCGTAGTCGAAGTCCCCAACCCCCAAGTTGATGAAACACAGTTACGAGGGTGCTGGCTGCATTGCGCTAAGTATTACACGCTGACTTCACCTTGTTTTTTCATGAACAAAGTGATGCGTTTCTGCTTCTTTTGCGGCTTTTGCAGCCTGGGAGGTGGCGTCCTGGTGACAAGTGCTTTAGCAGCAGCCCTTCTGAAGCAGTCTGCAGGATTCTGCAAGCCTCATGACTTCTGGCAACACCAGCTCCACGTCTGGTATCTGCGGCTTGTGCTTCTCGGATATCTTAGGCCTCCGCTCGAGAAGTTTGAGGTGAAACTCATGGACAGCTTCCCTCCTGCTTACGGCGTATATGCAGAGCAAATGCTCGTAACTTGCCGGCCTGCTGCTCGCCTCCTCGAAGTGTCAACTTTAGTCCACACTAAGTGATGACAGTCTAATTGTCCTGAATCTGTCTGGCCTTCTTGTCCTTGGATAGGGTTTGCTTCTCCTACATCAGGAGCCTACTTGGCAAGAGCTTGTGCAAGCCTGCGGCAGTCCTCAACAAAAATCGCTCGCCACCTCTGTATAATCGGCGTCACCTAGAGCATCCGTAACCAGCCTTCGTGCGTGGCTTCATGCTACCTTTCACGAGCCTTGCTCTTGATGCTGGGAAACTTGCTGGCCCTCAGCGCAACGTCTACTCTGTGCTTCCCAAAGGTCAGTGCCCAAGGCCACAACGACTCGCGTAGCACCTTCGGAATGAGGGTCCTGAGAATGAGGAGCGCTTAGGCGCATGCCGCATGCACACTGCAGAGTCCTGCGCAGCAGCATACCGGTGACCTTGAGCGACTCTAGTTGCGGCACCAACTCCTCCAACGTGGCCTGCTCAATCAAGACGGCACCGTACACGAAAGCGTTCCTCTCTTCGTCTCTTTGCCCAGGCCTGATTTGCTTCCTTGAGCGCCTGTTGCACTGTAGCGCAAGTTCAGGCACATGCGCACAAGCCCTGGCTGGCAGAATCCGACATGGATGCACTCGCCGCAAACAACCTTGCCCGCATTGATCTACTTTCTGCACACAGCTTGCGCTCCAGCATCCATTCCCTTTTCATTTGGGCTACATGAAGGCAGCCCGAAAATCACAGCCTCAACGAGCTTCTGAGCCTTTGCCAGATTCTGGGCATCATAGGCATCTTGCACTGCCTCGGCAATATTCAGCAATGCTGTCAGTGGCAAGCGCTTGCAATGGCATAACCCACAAAGCCGCTTTCTGGGCCAGCAGCTTTGCATTGCGCGAGCATGGGACCTGAGCCATGCGACAAGCACAAAGGCACCCTGTACTCAGCCGGCAGTTCTCAACCTCGGCACCGTGCCGGTACGCAGACTTTTCTGCTTCACTTTCCGCGCAATGGCCTGTCCGGTCGCAGAGCCAAGAAAATCGCAGAGAAGAAGCATGGATTAGCATGGTCAATCATGATACTAGACGCTTTCAAGATGCCAACACTCCAAACCTGCAGGTTCCCTTGCAAACTCACACCGGATCAGGAAAGCCCATCCTTCACAGGAATATTACGCGACACAACTTGACCTCACCTTCTTGGCGTTGGACTCCCATTTGCCGTTCAGGCCCTGTCGTGTGTCAAAAGTGGTCTCAATGCTCTTTGCGGGAGTTCATCAACCTGGCGGTACTTCGCCAGGGCCGCACGACGGCGCCGGGTCGCCTCCACTTCAGAAAGCTAAGCAACCTCAAGCAACCAAATTCGCAGCCAAGTCCAAAAAGGGGGAGCTCGTTCTGAAACCCAGGTCTTGCCTCGCTTTCCCAGCGCTTGCACTTCTTTAAAGGCATGTGCCCTCCGCTGGTTTGGCCAGCTCGCAGAGTCAAGAATCAAAGGGCCGTCCGAAAATGCGGCATTGGCTGAGCAGCTGAACAGCAGTACACACGATCCTAGCAACGGCACTATGCACAAGAACCCTGGCCACAAGTTACACAAGCAGTATCATGGTGCTCGAAAACTCCGAGACACTTACTCGTCCAAATGTCAGCTTGGGCAGAAACATTCGGCGCATGCCACATAGAGCCAATACTGCGGGCACCGCGCATTTGCAGCAGGTCGCACAGCGTTGACCATCTCATCTTGCTCTGGCAGCACTGACGGACGCCTGTGACAGGATGTTGTTTTGCAGAGCCGCCCATGTGCGAAGAGAAGTGTCTGAGACGGATTGCTGTGCAGATCAACTATCAACCAAAGCCACCAACTGCTAAAGTTGATTGATAATTCATGAGAGAAAACCGTTGATTTTGCACTAGCAGCTACAATCAGGTGAAACATCTCCGTCCCAAGATCGTCGTTGTGCCATAACACTGCCTCTTCCAGATTTCAACAACATCTCGGAAATGGCAATGATACTTCTTGCCAGGAGGTAAACAGCTAAACGCTGGACACACACGCACACAGAGAGACACACAGACAAAGCACCCAAAAGCTGCTGGCCTCTGTGAATGGTGTCCTGACAAAAGTCTCAGATCTTCCCTCCAGCCTACCTCCACTTGTCAACAGTTTTCCGCGCAGGCCCCAGCAGCTTGGACTGAGCATCTTGCCAGCCCAAGCAGCGTTTGCTTGCTGGGGTCTGTGAGCTGGCTAAGGTTACCCCGCAATTCAAACAAAGAATGCCCCAACCATACCCAACCAACCTGAACCCAAACATGTGTTAGTTCTGTGTTGGGGGCTCGTCCCGACAGCTTAGAACAGTGCTTGGGATGGCTTGGGACCGGGGCCGCGAGGCAGAAAAGATGCGGATGTGGGCTCGTGTGAAAAACCCTATGGCTCCCCTTCCTATCCTATCTTAAACCTTATCGTTTTTTCTAGTGCTCATCATTTTGCAGGGCCGGCCTACCAGAACCGTCTAGTATCACTGGAATTACAAACCTTATTGTTTTTTGTTTATTGGTTATCGTTTTGCAAGGGATGCAACAAATAGGACCGCTCATGTATGAATTCTGACAGCGGGGTTATTACCCAGGCCCATGTGGAACTGGGCTTGCGGGACCGCAAGGCCACCTAGAGGTTTAGAGCACTGCACTGGCTCGGGAGGACAAAAATGGCTTGGTGAGGGTGTGGCAGGGTCAGCCGTGCTCATACAACATCGTTTCATGATCGTCTCTGCCAGCAGTTTGTGAGTGTTGTTTAACGTCTGCTAGTCCGCATGAAGCATGGATAGAAACGTGCCCATGCCCTCTACATCCATTTACCAACACTTTCCCACACACCATCAGCATCTGAGCATGCCGCATGTCAGCAAGAGTCCTCGCTGCACGCCTTCACGTAGCCAATTCGCGACTCGAGCACTGGAGGCGAATGCTTCAGCTCTGGATTGGCGACTCGGGTGAATTGCGTATCCTGAGTGTCCAGTCGGCCCAGCAGCAGGAGGACTGCATCATTGCCACCCCATTGGCCTATCAGCACAACGGGACAACAAGCAAGCTGAACGAGCAAAAGGGCTCCCCCAACAGCCGTTGCTGTACATGTCAATGGCCCCGCCAGACAAGCGAAGGCTTCATATCTAAGAACGATATCCTCCAGCAAGCCCATCTGCCATGCATACCACTCGTAAGGTTGACAGGCTGGGGCGTTGTGCAGAAACAGGGCTCGCGCGAGTTCAGCCTCGCGAAGCAGACCGCAAACGCAGGGAGAAAAATCGCTCTCGCGCCGGCATGGAGGCGTTGGACACAGCTCAGCTGTACAGCGGCTGTTCTCTCTCTGCATCGGGCAGCGGGCGGCATAATGCATCCCCGAGGTGACGGATTCTGCCAGGACTGCTGCACCAGCGCCCAGCACGGCAAGAGACACCAGCACGAAAAAAGGAATTATTACAGAACATGATGCGTTTGACTTTCTTCCACCAAGCAAGCATCGCATAGGCATCGCAACGAATACAAGACTGGCCGCTGGCCAGGCAGAAGCCCATAAGGGCACACAGTCCCTGCATGACCAGCCCAGGCAATCCCTGTCATGTAGGTTTGTACATGGAGAAACTACTTCTCGGCAGGGTGACCAGCGGTCTACAAGTATGCCACCAGAGACCAGGCACAGCTCTAAGAAGCTGAGCAGAACCAAAACACACCAAAGCCGCCGAAGCGATTGAAAATCTTTCGTCACAATAGGCGATCTGCTGCTGGTAGGCTCGCTGGACAACGGGCTGTTCTTCGAGCTCGTTTCTCCGCAGTCTGTCTCACCTGAAAACCAAACGGGCTTCATCTCAACGGTGACGTGCTGCAGGATCTTTGGCGCCGCATGCGCTGCTCTGTCTGTACCTTGAGGGCCAAACTCACCAGAATCTCCTCGGCGACCGATCACGGAGGGCTCAGGTCCCTGGGTACCTTGCAGCACAGATCGCTGCATTGGCTCATCGCGCTGCTGGCCAGATGTCAATTGCTCTTGAGCGGTAGCCGGCAGAGGCTCTTCGGTAGCCACGTTCTTCGGACTGCTTGCCGCTTCACGGCGCTGATTTGGCTCACGCATTATGGAAGGTTCTGGCTCAGGAATAACCAGGTCTCGGAGTCTGCTTGCGATGGCTCTAAATTTTTCTTGGCCTTGGTCTCCATGTCTGCCTTGACAGAGCACTGCCTCTTGAGGCTGCGTGCGCGCGGTAGACCTGTGGATATGCATTAAAGGCAGGGGAGACTCAACAAAAAGGGGAATGGCCTAAAGTCGCTGAAAGAAGCACAGCTTTGCAGGTTGACACGGCCTGTCTGTCGAGGTGGAGCTTGTGTCCACTGAAGATGAATCAGATTGTTCAGTGCTCTCAGAAACGTGGTCCTGCTGCCATCTGATTTGGCGGTTCATGAGCACTACCGCACACCAACAACAATACCAAGTCAGACACATGATACACAATGTACAAGCATTCAAGAAGGCACTATAAAAGAGCTTCTGAAGAAATCACTAGCTCCTCCGCTATACAAGCAACCTCCGCTCCTCTGACCTTCCTGTGCTCAGTGGTTGAGCACCATGGGAAGCAGCTTCACAATCAGAATGATCACCTATGCCAGTGACTTCCAAGCAGTTGTTTCTTCAACTTAGTCGGTGGCCCAGGGATCCCACCTTCGACCATCCCTGTACGGCCCAGAAGGTGCTAGAGGCATATCGCGGCCGTTAAGTTGTATAGCGTTGCTGATTTGGCAGTTACCGTTGCAGTAGATAGCGCATGTAACACATGGCCTCCGTTGCATCCTCCATAAAGCTGCTCTTGGTCTGCGGCTTGCTATGACAGCTTAAAGGCGCTAATACCCGGACAGGATCAACTGTGCATCACCTTTCCTAGCATTCTGCATGTCTTTGCCGATGCTTTTGGCTGAGTCTTTTTACAGGCAGGCTGTAACATAAGAGCTGAAACTAAAGCAAATTAGAAACTTGTTGGGCAGGTGCAAACATGTGAGACATTGACCGTGAGCAAGATGTCGCTCACCACAAACACAGATTCGCAAGCCTGGCCAAGGCCACGCCGCATACAGACAGAATGCATCCTTGCGCTGCCAAGAACGTCAGCCATCTAGTGGCACTGACACCCAGATCTTTCATGAAGCTGTAGGGCCAGCGACCTGTTCTGCAATGATTGAAGTGTATAGCGACTACAAAGACGGTCACATAAATAAAGTGAAGGCAAACGAGCCCAAACGTGGAAGGCATGGTGGCACGCAGTGTGTCTCCATGCTTCAGCATGATATCAAAGACTGCCACAATCATGGGCAAGATGTGACGCATGCAGTCAATAAAACCGAAGCGCACTCCACGCGCGGCCCATACCTGACATTGCTTTTCGTGATCCGGATGGCTGAACACTAAATTGAAGTACTGGATGGTCACGAACACGCCTGATGCTCCAACCAGAGGCGATGCAGCGTAGCTTCCACAAGCCAAACGTCCGCTCACAGAAGGAGCCATGACAGAAATTATAGCGTGAACCGCTAAAGCTCCAATTGTTTGATGTGTCAAGTAAACCCACCTGCCCAAGGGTCCATATGTTACGAGAAAATCATCGTCCGCTTCTTTTGTTGCCCTGGGCAAGGCATACAATTCAACATATAGATTGAATAACGCAAGGATTGCAACAACAACCTGCGCGGAGAACACAAGAGCAGGCGGTGCTGGAACTGATGGATCTGTTCCATGTCCCAGCGCATACAGCATGACCATGTAGATCACCGAGAGGAAGCAGACTCCAATGTGGTCAAGGTGTCTCGTGTGCCAGTGCTGCCTTTCCTCCTCGTGGTCATACTTTCCAGTTGGACATCTGAGCAGCTGGCGCAGAAGCCCGGCTCTGGCCGCGGGGTGTCGAGACATCTAAAAAGGTTCCTATCTACGAAGGCATAGCTCTGAACAGCTTGACTGGAAAGCGGCCTCTGTAAGGCTGCAGAAGGTGAAGCCGTGTACAAGCTCTGCTAGACTGGCTTGCGTTGAACGGGAATCAGTTGTCCTTTTTCATGCAGCGACATGCATATTCATCTGTACACAGTTGCCTGCTTTAATTGGAGCAGTAACATGCGGGGACACATATTCAGCAACTGTTGGACCTGCTCGACATGAAAACACCGAGTCTCAGCAAGCGCATGTCATGCTTCCGCAAATTAGGAAGGGCTTGGCAGGCATGAATTGGCATGCATGTGCCCAGGTTCCACTAAGCTTGACTCAATGTCATGCAAAAATGGCAGGACTCAGACTCAGCTCAGCAGATGGCAACGATTAGATCGAGCTGGAGTTTGCACGTTCGTCGTGAGCCTGAGCTCGCAAGTGGTTGAGGTTCAACACAGGTTAGAAAATAGTTCAGCGCTCTTCACTTCCCAGCGCATGTTCACGGCCTTACTGGTTCTGATGGCTAAGTCCCGGACATGCGGGCTAATGTTGACCCAGAGCATGGGGAGGAAGGGAAGCATTCTTGCGGAAGAGCCTTCGTTGAGCAGGGGGCAAGAACAAAAGAATTGTTAGTCGCAGTTGCTTTCTTTCCTTGATTCCAAAGTGACTGCAATCCCCGGACGCTGTTCACTCGCAGCAGCTATCGTGGTCACACGGCCGTATGATCACTGTTGCTTAGGAGCCCTTCAGGGATGTGCTGTATGATATCTCGATTTAAAATGTCCAGAATATATTGTGAATGATACGACTGCTAACATTCCCTGCTAGGTGGAGAGCCGTACAAGCACCTGGCGGTCACGTTCGCTTTTTGTTATGTTTTTTTTGTTTTTCCCCGAGCTCTTGTTGCTCTGCTTTGCTTTGCGATGCTCTGCTTGCCTCTCAGGGTCGGTTGCTCAACTGCCCCCACACATCTGAAAACAGTTGTCGGCCCAAACAATTCCAACAGATACCCCAACCTTGGCCCCCCCTTCCACCCGGCTGCAAGAGAGCATCCCCACATCGAGTCGCAGTGCGACGCATTTCATGACAGCAGGACATTGTTAGAACGTGCTCCCACACAACCACCCCTGTCCCAGGCGGCTCCAAGTTCCACACACAAACACTGAAGCATGAAATCTGCAACGCACAAACTGCAGTCGTTGAAGAAACCGTTTTTGCTTAGGTTGCAAGCTTGCGCTGCAGATGTTTGTGTTTGTGTACAACATGACGTATCTCTAATTGGGGGGTATCTATGTACGTCGCGTGAACCAGAAAAAATTCAATACCGCAGCCTTGGTAGGATTTCGCCTTTGATAGCACGTTATAGGAGAGCTCTGCAATTCCCGGCTTGCACTGGGTTCTGCTGGGGACCTGGGGTGCCGGAAATATGGCTTCACCTCTTGAAGGCATTTTCATGCTTGCAAAGAAACCCCGTCAATCGGCCATTGTCGACCACGTGCCATATTACTTATCGCTGGTTTCTGGTTATGCAATGATGCCTGTCAACGAAGAAAACAGCCCGGCAGGTCCCATGCTATAACATGCCACATGTACCCAGGCCCCTGTTTCTCTTTATCTTCGTCGGTATTAAGGGAATGCTACTACTCCCCAAAAGTACACCCCAGCCCACGCAGACCCGCAGAGTCACGAGCCGGTACCCAGGTAGGCCCGACATACCACGCGCACGCAGGGCATCTAACTGACCACGATCCTCGACGCTCAACTCCCACCTTAACACGGCCGCCCCATTGCTAGACTGCCCCCATGAGACAACCCACAGACACGTCCTGCGCTCACTGTCCCGCCCTCCACCCTATAAGCAGGCGTAGTGGACTTTTTACGATGCGGCCATACAGATCCTCTATGGGTCCATGCACGCTGCATCCACAACACCACATCGATGGGTGGGTAGGAGCAAAAGTTCTTACAAGGAGTTCTTGCAGAAAACATTCCAGCCTCACCCGCTACACATGTGCACATGCTGTTGGAAGCGTTATCCCTCCCAACCGTCCAAGTTCAAATGAATGTCCCACACAATCAAGTTTGCTCCAGGACATGTTATGCACTTCACGGTCCCGCCCTCCACCCTACAGGCAGGTGTAGCGGACTTTTTCCCGATGCGGTCATACTGATCCTCCATCGGTGCATTCTCAATGCCCAATGGCTCTCGCCGCACCTCGTTCTTTGACCCGCCCCTTGCGAAGGCTGCCTTTTGTTTCTTGATGTCCTCCGCATTGCATGGTCTGCTGTGCCAGGCCTCTTCGGTGTACTCAAAGACCAGGTTGCAGACACAGGACCCAGGACTCGGGGCTGCGGGACGGTGAGACGCGGGCAGCCGGACGCGGGCCGCAGGCCGCGGCCGGGCCGCTGGAGCGTGGGGGGCGGGGCTGCGGGATCTGTGCTGAAAACCTAAAGCCCCGAAACAGCCTAGACCCTAAAACCCTGCAAACCCTAAACCCTGAAAACCTCAAGCCCCCGAACACCCTGGACCCTAAAAGCCCTAGAAACCCTAAACCCTCAAAACCTTAAATCCTAAAAAATCCTAAGCCCTAAACACCCTAAACAACCCTGACCGCCAAAAGAATTAAATCCAAAAACCCGAAACACCGTAAACCCTAAAAACCCTTCAGTCTGAAAACCCTGAGACTCCTTAGAACACCCCAAACCCTAAAAAGCCTAATCCCTCAAAACCCTGAGCACCCTAGACCCTAAAAACCCCAAACCTAAAAAAAACTAAAACCGGGACTTCTGGAAATTGCAGAAACCTAGATAAACCATGATAAACCTAGGGGTCTGGGCGCCTTTATTCTAAACACGTTATCCGTAGGCCGCGAGCTGCAGGCATCGGACTGTCTGGCCGCGGAGGCGCGCGGCCGCGCGTAAATTCTACTGTTATGGACTATCTTCCCAAACCTTTGCGGGCAAGCTTTTCATCCTTTCCTGGTTGTAGCGTCTCGCTCTCCCGGACCTCCATCGGGGCCAGCTCTCCCTCTTGTCTGGCTGCGGTATCTGGCTTGTCACCTCGTGGCGGCTGCTAATGCTCGCCCGCCTTGTTACTTGCGGCACTCCTTTCGGGGGTCATTCTCTCCAATCCCTTCCATAGTGTTACACGGTCTTTTTTGCATTTCCCGCATCACCAGCTCGTCCAATCCAAGCCTTGGATCCACTCCCGTGCCATCCGGCGGCACTTTCCTTGCCTTGTCAATCTCTGCGTCCAATCTGGCCGAAGTTTCCCTTCTTCACTGCCATTGGTGTTTTGTCTTCCATTTTTTGTAGTTGTCGCAGTCCTGTGCTGGCTCCGGTCTTCGGTCTTTTCCCGGCAGGGCTGTCCTGTACTTTCCCACGTATCAGCCCCACCATGCACGGAATTTCCTCAGTCTCCTTGTCTTCCCTTCCTGTTTTTGCTGTTCCCTTTTTCATCCTTTGCTACCTTCCCTCGCTCCCTGTCCGTGTCCTCCCTTTGCGCCGCCCTCACCACTGCCTTTTGCAGGCCTGGCATCTTTTCTTTCCAGTGTAACAGTGTAACATCTGATCACGTGTCATCATCTGATCACTCGTTGTTGTTCTCCCAGCTGTGGCTTGAATTTGTGATTGTGGTTTTCTTCTTTTCACTGTACTCCAGCAATCTTCTCCTTTAACTGTGCGTTCGCTTCCCTTCCAGGTTTGGGTTTTGGCTCCTTAGTCCCCACTTCTTTCCGCTCGCGACCTTCGCTGGTCGCGCTCGATGACGAGGAGCTGCTGCTCGTACTGGAGGTTGTGGCGGCTCCCTTCTTACCTTTCTTCGTTTCTTTTCGCGCTTTCCTTCCCGGTTTTGCCTTGCTCCCGGGTGCAGACTGCTGCGCTCTCTCTCGTAATTTCCGTAGTCCACGCTCTCCTCTCGGGTGCTGCCGGCTTCGCTAGCGCCTGCTGGGCTGGCGTGCCCGCCGCCGCTGCAGGAGCCGATCCTGAAGGTGCCGAAGGTGGCGGAAGCGCCGGAGGTGGTGCAAATGCAGCTCTTTTCATTGCCTCCGCATTTGCTCCAGGAACATGATATTTGCTGCACTTTTTCTAGCTGTGGACAAATTTCCGCTTATTCCCACCAGCAAGCATGCTTTCCACTCCTTGTCTTCCCCAAGTTCTGGTTGACTCTGCGCCTCTTCGGTACCTGCTGCTTCGCTCTTCTGGTCGGTCTTTCACGGCGCTTTCCCATGTTGCTCTAGATTCACCCCATTTCCAAATACAAACTCCCCGCCAAGCGCACCGGACCCAAGCTCCTGAGGTTGCAGCCCTCGCGATGGAGAGGCTTCTCACAATCTATACCCCACAACACCACAACTAGAAGGTACCAAATCATCCGTAAACTGCCGTTCATACATGTACCCACACCCCTCCCTATTTGCCCGCAGCATCTTCATGTTACATGTGCATCCACGGTCATAGCATCCGTATAAATACCACAACTGCAAGATTTCTGTTACAGCGAAACAACATACTAGCGAATGCATGCC